TCTTATTCATGACTATTAGGATACTGAATAACCCATTCACACATTCTGAAGTTTATTTGGGACTCTTATGTGAAAGAGATGAGGGATAGATAAACCTAATAAGTAATAAAATAACCTACACTAACTCAGATATGCATGCAAGCACCCACACACAAACACATTCTAAAACAAACTCTTGAAATGCTTCAAGAAACACATTCCCTACCTTATTGTAGTAGTAGAGGTATCTTTGCCCACCCAAAAATGATGAGTTCCTTCCTCTATTTGCTGAGCCCAAGCTGGATGTAGCCATATTACTCGTGAAAAATGACCAGCATAAACAGCAGGCATAATCCAGTTTTCAATGCTTAGTTCACTGTAAAAGAACAAAGGATAAATATGGGCTGAAATGTCTTAGAAACCTGGGTAGAGGTGACATTAAAAAAAAAAAAAAACAGTATTGGCAACATACTTGCCCATACGAAAATAAACCCTGCTAAGAAATATTAGAATGCTTTTGTTAGACACAAAAATCAGTACTGTTCAAAGATACTTTTTAAAACTGAGAAAAAGCATACAGCTAGTCCTTAACTTATAAAAGATCATTTGCTCTTTCTATTTAGTATGATAGACTTGCAGGGCCAGCACAATGTGCTATATGTCTACGCTGGTGCAGTATAATATAATATAATGTTAAGCATATATATGTATATAGGATTGTGTGTCTGTTAGTATGATGCACTGGGTTAAGATTTTCTTTCTTTCACTGTGAATTATTGAGATGTATTTATGTTGGGGAGGAGTACACTAAGGGAAGCTCATCCAATCTTACTGTACACATGTTGTGCATTGACAATAAAGGTTTGAATTGAACTGAATTGGTGACTATTCAAAGTTACAACAGACCCCAAAAAGTACTTACGACTTGAAGTTTTAACCCTAACTTTAACAACACTTAATAGTATATATACATTATTATACCATATGTCTGTCTGTCTGTCTGTCTGTCTGTCTGTCTGTCTGTCTGTCTGTCTCTATCTATCTATCTATCTATCTACCTACCTACCTACCTACCTACCTACCTACCTACCTACCTAAATAAAAAAACCTGGAAAATGGCAGTAATATTTTTTTATTTATAGCCTTAGTGTGCAGAAACCATTTGGTTCATCCAATACATTGCTAACTTTATTGGGTTTTCCTCCAATAGATAAATAATGAAACATGTACAGAGCACATGAATCTGGTTTTCTCATTGACTTTGCTTTTCAGATTGCAAAAGGTGATCACATGACCCTGGGACATTGCAACTGTCATAAATAGGAACCAGTAGCCAAGCATTGGAATTTTGATCATGTGACTATGAGGATGCTGGAAAGCTTATAAGTGTGAAAAACGGTCATAAGTCACTTTTTTTTCCAGTGCCATTGTAACTTTGAAAGGTCACTAAACGAACTGTTGTAAGTCAAGGACTACCATTTTACGGCAGGATCCTACCATGAAATGTTGCATTCTGGATGTTCCTATTCATCATTCTATATATGTGTAGATATATCGTAGGTAGTGTATGCTAAATACTGCATGCAAATGGTTTGCTCTTCAGCTCCCTGCAGTGTAATCTTTCTATAAAGCATTTTTATAATTCTGGAAACCTCACAGTTCTTTGAGAATTCTGATATACTTAGCATATAAAAATTACAGGACCTGTAGCAAAAACATTGCAGTGTTCAGTGCTCCTGTCTATTCTTCAGTTGTTAGGTTCCAAAGCATTCATTTCTACTTATTACATTATCAATCGGCATTCTGTGGTCCACCCTCATTTCATTATGGGGCTTCCTTCTTAAACGATGTACAAACTTCATCACGTTTATGGAGATTCTCAGTCATCCAAGTCATAGTTGTCCCAAAGGTGTTTTGTTTTTTCAAGAGGCAACTAGACTTCCTTGTTTTTCTTTGAAGAGGTTTCGCTTCTCATCCAAGAAGCTTCTTCGGAGCTGAAGAAGCTTCTTGGATGAGAAGCGAAACCTCTTTAAAGACAAACAAGAAAGTCCAGTTGCCTCTTGAAAAAAAACAAAAACCCTTTGGGACCACATCATGTTGTTCTACTTAAAGCAACAGAACTGACTTCTCAGAAATAAAGGGCAGGATGGCTAGTACTGTACGAAGTCTTAGGTAAGTAGAATTCTTAGTATGAACTTTGGACGCCCCCGTCTGGCCATTTATGTAAAAGACATAAAACAAAATCATAAAGCTTAAAGAATGTAACCGTTTCACTCCGATTACTTCGTTATTTGATTATGTAATGTGAGCTGAATAGTTTTTTTTTTTAATCACATGCCTGTGTAATTTCAGTGCATTCCAAGAACAAGGCACAAAAAAAAACACATTTAGCTAACAATTCTAGATGCACTTAAGCTAAAATTCTACCCAGTCAACACCACTGAATCATCGTACCTAAACAGAGCTTCTTTGTCGAACACAGTATCTGCAGGCATGTCCACTGGAATAAGGAGATCTGGGTGGGAGTCCAAATGAACAAAGCTGATGTTGCTAACAGGAAGGTGCTTTGAGCCAATAGCTCGGTAAATGAAGGGAAGAACCTGGAATGACAGCATTGCAGGTGTTTTAGTGCAAGGAAATCCATGGATAAACTTTATTATTCATCAGGTTGGCCAAAAATGTCATCAGAAAGAGGGATAGGGATGCCTGGAAATAATTGATTTTGTCCCAATTATGCTGTCCCGGCCAGGCTATGGGAATTGGATAGTTATTTAGGAATTATGAGCTGTCCCCTTAAGGGAATGCATCATGGTAAATGTAGTGAAAGGTATCCTGGGAAATGTAGTTCATGTCAGGTGGCCACATCTGATTGGTCACTAATTTGACCCTGGAGGGGTTGGGGGAGGTTTTCCTCACTTTTGCCTGAATTCTCTAACTCATGGCAGCTGCTTTCTATCACTACGAGATGGGTTGAGATAACCATCTTTTACCTACAAGACAGATATACAAAGGATTGGTCATTAAAGAAGAACTTTGTCACAAATGTGAGTTATGAGGATACCTGATGAACTAATAAATGTACTTTGTTATGGACATCTTGTTGAGTTTATCTATCTGCATCTGCACACCTTACAAATCCACCACTGTGCAGAAGACAGAAAAGTAAAAGATGGTTATCTCCTAACCCATCTCGTAGCCATAGAAAGCAGCTGCCATGAGTTAGAGAATGCAGGCAAAAGTGAGGAAAACTCCCCCAACCCCTCCAGGGTCAAATTAGTGACCAATCAGATGTGGCCACCTGACATGAACTACATTTCCCAGGATACCTTTAACTACATTTACCATGATGCATTCCCTTAAGGGGACAGCTCATAATTCCTAAGTAACTATCAATTTCCCATAGACTGGCTGGGACAGCACACCAACCATCTTAGCAGCAAAGTTCTTATGTCCTGTTATATAACCCAAGATCAATAAAACTCACTCTTAAGTAATACTACAGTCCTAAGTACCAAGTACCCTGAATTGACTAAAAGATACTCAGGCTCTTATCGAGTTCAACTGCTATTCATGAAATAAAGATGGCCTAAAAATTACTTATAGAGGCACCGCAGTGAAGCAAAAATGGGGCTGCCACCTGTAAAGTTAAAACTGTGTTTCAGAACAATGTCAAAGCACACAAGGATATTCCTCTTCAACTCCAACTAGGTTAAAAGAAAATCTCAATGTTCCAGATCATTGCTAAAAGTGAACTCTACAGGGAAAAAACCCCCAGACTTTCCTAGTGAAAGCCTGATCACTTTATAAATATTTTGGGAGAGGAAAGTGATGATAGATTTCCCTAACACACTTGTTTACACCCATAACAAGTCAGCAAACTTGGTTTCCAAGATTAATTAATAATATATTGTTAATATAAATAGATAAAAAGGAAAAGGTTAATAAAAGTGTGACGGCTTTGAAGCCATGGTGGGGTAATTTCAGTGTAAGGAGAATTCAGTGTAAGGAGTGGGGGGGGGGGGAATATTATTTTAAAATTGGTACGTTTTCATTTTTGGACTGGGGACCAGATAAGGGCAACCTGGGGGGGGGGGGGGGGGCTAAGAGAGAAGACTTCTGATCAAAGCATCTTTGCGTATGGCAAAGTGCAAGCGGTCACAAACTTCATCACGTTTATGGAGATTCTCAGTCATCCAAGTCATAGTTGTCCCAAAGGTGTTTTGTTTTTTCAAGAGGCAACTAGACTTCCTCGTTTTTCTTGGAAGAGGTTTCGCTTCTCATCCAAGAAGCTTCTTCTGAGCTGAACTACACTACACTCAACAACAATCGGTCCCGCGACTTCTTTGAAGCTGCTCCCCGAATTTTCACAACGCATCGCGCATTAGCGAAGCGCCGACGAAACCATCTGCCGGCCGGCTTTTAAAACTTACATCGTGATGATCTTCCACCACCCAAACCGGCAACTTCGGGTAGGTGCGGAGGGAGCTGCCCCCGCTGCTCTCGTGTCCAACGCTCTGCTCCTCCCCGCCGCCGCCGCCGCTCATTTTGATCAGCTTTGAGGTCACACAGAACGCTCGGGACACATCGAAGGTTCTAAAATAGAACGCCGAGATCTTCAGCGCGGGAGGGGCATCGAATGCTGAGAAACGCTACGTTCTAAGCCCGGAATCCCAACCCTGGTCGTGTTCCAAAGAGAACGAAGGGTGGGGTGGGGGTGGGGGACGCGTCTAGACGTGACACACATAGGCATGTTGGGAAAGGAAAGGAGGGGGGAGCGTGAGCATGATGAGATTATTCCATTTTTAGGACAAGGAATCTTGGCTGCAAGGACTCTCCAAAATATTCTAGTGTCATTCATCACTAACCCGTTCATCATAAGTTCCCCTGGTTCTTTTCTCCTTTGCTAGAAAAAAAGAAAAGAAACATTTTCCCTCCCTGAGCTTCCGTTTGGACACCATGCACAGAGCTCCTCCTTCCCAGTGTTTTCTTCCGGTGTAAGGGTTTTTTCCGCGCACATTTGCTCTTGTCTTTGCCGGTACCTACGTTCTGCGTTGTGGCATGTCAAAAGGAGTGTTTCCAGGTAAACTAAAAGTTGCACGGGACTCTTTGATAGGGAGGTAATGGCTCTACGACGCTAAGTAGGACTTGGATGATTTTTCTGTCGTCTTTGTTTCGGTGGAAGAGGTGATGTCTGACGTTTGAGAACGCAGTTATTTTTGCCCTTGTTTAAAAGCCGTGCACGATGTTGGAAATACATAGTGCGAGAAATGGCTTCGCTGATATTGACACACTTGGAATTTCCCATTTGCAACTTGCTTATCGTATTCCCCTCCCCGATTTAAAACCGGAATCTTCACGAAGTTAACAAGGGAATCTGATAAGCACGCATGTTGTTTTTCTTTTGAAAAGGTGGAGGTCTTTAAAGAGCAAACCCTGTGTAAGACAGAGAGCCATCAAATGTATAATCTCTTTGGACGTTAAAGCTAACAACTGTCTGTCATAGTATCCTAGAGTTACCAAACGGTAATCGAAGATATACATAACCTAAACAATTGGTGAACAATATATATTTTTTAAATTAAAGCTAATAAGTGTAATATAATTTAGAATGCAGACTTATGCATGCTCAGTCAGAAACAAATTCCAAAAAGAGAAGCAGGATTTATTTCCAAGCTAATATTTTTAAGGTTTTAGATTGCAAAATCTAAAAGTGTCCCTTATGAATTAATAGTTACATTTGGTAGTGGTTGAGTCTTTTCTTAAGAACCTGCAGGAAGATATTACTGCAAATGCTGGAAATGCCATTTGAAAGATTATATGATCATGTGATTTGTAAATTTGTGAAAGGGACACGGTGGCTCAGTGGCTAAGACACTGAGTTTGTCGATCAGAAAGGTCGGTGGTTCGAATCCCTAGCACTGCGTAACGGAGTGAGCTCCTGTCACTTGTCCCAGCTTCTGCCAACCTAGCAGTTCGAAAGCATGTAAAAAATGCAAGTAGAAAAATAGGGACAACTTTGGTTGGAAAGTAACAGCATTCTGTGCGCCTTTGGCATTTAGTCATGCCAGCCACATGACCATGGCGACGTCTTCGGACAGTGCTGGCTCTTTGGCTTTGATGAGCACCGCCCCCTAGAGCCGGAAATGACTAGCATGTATGTGCGAGGGGAACCTTCACCTTTATGTAGATTTGTAAGCACCAAAGCGCATAGGTGAGTAGCAGATATGCAGCTTCAAACATGCAGTGAATACAGGTATGAATAATGGTGCTTATGTTCAGAATAATCACCTACTTATTTCAAAATAAATGTACATAATTAATAATTTTAATAATAATATCAATAGCACTAGCACTTAGACTTATCTACCGCTTCACAGTGCTTTACAGCCCCCTCTAAGCAGTTTACAGAGTCAGCCTGTTGCCCCCAACAATCTGAGTCCTCATTTTACCATCCGGGGAAGGATGGAACGCTGAGTCAACTTTGAGTTGGCCAGGTTTGAACTGCTGGCAGTCGGCAGAATTAGCCTGTAAATACTTCATTGTAATCACTGTGCCATCGCAGCTCAATAATAATTTAGATGATATTATCTAAATATTTTTTAAGTTCTCAGAGAGCGTGATTTTGTAGTTTAATTTTTCACCAAAACATTGAGTAGTGACTTTCACACTACGCAAACAAATGTATAGTGAAATCAATGAGCGCTATTAAAATATTGCAGCATGGGCTCCCTTTCACGGCCTGCTGCTAAGGTACCTAGCTCTTCCCTATCTTAACTCAAAGAAATGTGACAAAATTGTGTTCTCCTGCCTCCCCTTCTTCTCTTTCTAGCTGGGTAATGTCTTTTCATTCCGGGCGTGGGTGTCCCCGAGGCCGAGGAGTTACTGTCCGAGCTTCGTCGCAAACCTTTCGCCCCCAAAACTTGAGGCAGCTACATCCTCAGCAGTCTTCAATCCAGTATCAGTATGATCAGCAACCTGCTACCACCTCCCTCTATGCGAGCCCTCCAACTCCAAACTATGTCCCTCCTAGGCCGGATTTTGTCCCGTATCCCCCACCAATCCCCCCTTCGCCTCAAAGTTCAATCGCCCAATGTCCGCCCCGACCTCCTTTTTCAGGCCCTCAAATGAGGCAGACTTTCCCACTTCCTCCTTGTTTTCCTCCAGCTCCTCCCCCTGTCCCAAATCCTGGTAACCCTCCCGTTCTAGCCAATGCAACTGGTCAAAACACCTTCCCATACATGATGCCACCTCCATCCCTATCACATCCCATGCCTCCACCAGTAATGACTCAACAGGTAAATTACCAGCCCGCATATTCTCCAGGCTACTCCCAGCAGACCTTTTCGCCTCCTAACTATAATAACTACCAACACAGTGCAAACTCTTATCAAAGCAACAGTGGTAGCACTAATAGCAGCGGTAGCACCAGCAGTAACTTCCGGCATCCAAGTGAATACCTGGTGGAAAAATCTCAGACTGACCGGAGGTCTCCGGAGAGGAGCAAATATTATGATGAACACCGCCACAGGGAACACGGACACGGACACGGGGATCGGCATCGGTCCACTAATCACGGGGACCGGCGGGATCGAGGGAGGAGCCCAGATCGCCGGCGGGCAGAAAATAGCCGTCACAGATCGGATTATGTCAGAGGAAGAACCCCACCTCGCCATCGGAGTTATGAATGGTACAGGTAATCTGGATTATCCATGGTGCTATTCTTCTCAGCTCTTCTGTCTTATTTTTTATTGGCACTGAGGTCACACGTGGTAGTTCTGCTAGTTGTGGGAAACCGCAGGTGGCCTTCGACTGACAGCAGTTCATTTAGTGACCGTTCAAAAGTTACAATGGTACTGGACAAAAGTAACTTACGACCACTTTTCACACTTAGAACTCTTTGCAGGTGATCAGGTGATCAAAATTCAGGCGCTTGGCAAGCGACTCATATTTATTCCGGGGTCTTGTGATCACCTTTGGTGTCCTCCTGCCAAGCAAAGTCAACAACTGTGACAAGGAAGGTTGTAAAATTCACTTAACAAATGTTGTGTTTAGCAACAGAAATTTTGAGCTCCACCGTGGTTGTAAGTCAAGGACTACCTGTAGTCCATACTTTGCAGTTTACAAAAGAATGACTTCCTATTTGTTGCTTCTTTTTGAACCTCACAGATATCTGGGTACACACAAGTTTGCATTCGTTGGTGGGTAACACTTGTTTGACAATATTGACAGATTTCTAAACGTAATACTAACTTGAATGATCAGCGGAAGTATACAGAAAAATTGAATAGTAGAGTTGGAAGGGACCTTGGATGTTTTGTGGTCCAATACTCTGCCCGTGCAGGAAACCTTGTACCATTTCAAATCGTTGTCCAATCTCTTCCTAAAAACGTGCAGTGTTGGAGCACTCACAACAGCCAATCTTACTCGATATCCAGACTCTGAGGAGAATGAAACGCAGAAACGGAAGAGCTCTCTGATTTAATGCCTGTTGGTTTTGCTAAGTTATAGCTCTAGATAAAGTTATGTGATCGCTGTTGCACTGGTTAAATGTGTAGTTACTAAATCACTTATTTCAGTCGAATACTTCATGTAGAACTGGTAAACTTTCTGCATGATATCAGCCAAGTATACTTTTTTTGCGTGAACATTGATTGTTCATATCTGAAGTACCCAAGACCCAAACTAGAAATTTAAACAAAGGAATAGTGTAGTACATGTTGTAATTTTTTAAAAAGAGGGGATTGAAGAAAACAAGACTTTCTATTCTGTTTTTCTTCTTGTAGCTTTATCATTATCATTAACTTCTAGAGGCAAGTCATTCCACTGCTTCATTGCTCTATCAGGAAATTTCTCCTTAGTTTTAGGCTGGTTCTCTGCTTGATTAGTTTCCATCCATTGCTTCTTGTCTTGCCTTCAGGTGCTTTGGTGAATAGGTTGACCCATTCTTCAATACAAAAATAAAATAAACAAATAAAACTACTTTCCATAACAAAGAGAAAAGAAAGGCAACATAAGCCCATTTAGTTAGATGTCTAAGCTATTACCCACATCGCTAACACTTTTGCAGTTGTCCAAATACTCTTAAGTAAGCATCTTCTCTTTAAATTCAGGTGCAACTCTTTCACTGTTAATTGTTCACTGCGTCTCCAACAGCTATTTTTCTTGACTTTGTTTCCTTTGTGATTCAAAGGCAGAATATCCCAGAAATTCAGAACTGAGGAATAAGGAGTAAAGATGCTTGGGAACATTCAGTCCAGAGGGTTCGTGTTCAGTTCATGTCACCATGTCTCCTTGTCGTCCTGTTTTATTTGTAGTTCCAGATTCTCAGAAGTTTTTTTTTTTAAACAAATTTTATTAATTTTCAAAGACAATACACAAACAAACAAAACATAAAACGTGAGAACATAAAGCATCTTTTAACAAAGCAAATAAAACATCTTATTTAAGTACAGCATAGTTCCAAATTATCACATTTCCATACAAACACAGTTTAATATGCATCTTATGTATTCAACTTCATATCTTATTACTCTTTTTCCAACTTCTCACTATTTTTCCCTTTACTTCTATTCAATTTTATTCATTAAATTTATACTTTCACCTGTCTTATTTACGATTTCATATGTTCTCATCCAACATTCTTAATTCTCAATAAACAAACATAAACAAACAAAACACGTAACATGAAAACATAAAACTTCTTTTTAGAAAGCGGCTTAACCCCGGGTTACATCTTTTTGTACAGACATAAATCAAATTCATGCTCACCTTATATACTATTTCAATTTTATTTAACATTCTATATTTTCTATATGTCTTCTCTCCTCTTTTCACTCTCTTGATTCTATTTTATTTACTTCATCTCAAATCATTATACTTGTATCTTTTGTCTGTTCTTTTTCAATTGTCTATTTATCTTTTCTCTTTAATACAAAATTTTTCCTGTAATCAGTGGTTGAAGTATGACACCTTTCTATCTTTCCCCTAAATTTAACACTTAAAATAATACATAATTTCCATTCTGATTCTGCTTAGTACATTCTACGTAACATTTTAAAATAAAAAACATAATAAGCTTATAGTATAGTAAAAACAATGTTCCATAACAAATTAATTAATTAAACTCTATTATTAAATCTTAGACATTTTACACATTCCCTACGATATTCTATTAACACATATAATATTCCAATTTTCTAACTCTATTTCAAATACAAATACTACGATACAATCTTGTGTACTTTTGCAGAATCTCTTTTTAAATTGTATTTTACCCTTTGTCTCTAAAAAAACCCCTATTTTTTAACATCTTGTTTTAAGCCTTTATAACTTCTCTTCCCTTTTTCCCTTCCTTTCTTGTCGAATCTAGCCTTTTTACCCCCCCATCTCTCAATCTCCGTCCTTTTAATCTCCCCTCTCTGTTGCATTCCTCTTTTCTGTTGCTTTCTGACATTATATCGATTTTTCACCTTATTTTTCCCTTTCTTGGTTGTTTTTTTAGATCTTGAATTCTTCATTTTCTTTCCCCCTTTTCCCTTTTCTTCATCAACTAAAATTATTTGTCCATTAAAGATGGCTTCTTCTTCATCATCCCAGCTTTCTTGTTGTTGTATTTCCTGATAGGTAGAAATCGCCATTTCTAAGAAGTGAAAAACAGATCCAGAAGAGCCCTTGCCTTCTTGTTCCTCTTCTTTTAGCTTTTTAAATTCCATTTTCAATTCTTCCACAGATAACACCATTGTGATTATATATATATGTATGTATGTATGTATCTATGTATGTATCTATGTATGTATATTTTTAAACAATCCAAATGTTTTTAGTCTTTCAAAAAATAGTTTGCAAAAGTCCCAAAGTCATCAAGCAATCCAGATCAACACAAACTGTTTCATTTAGCACTTTCTTCTTTTAATACTTTCTCATCCTGGGGTAGAGTTCAATTACACAATTCCAAAATGATTTTTTAGAAGTCTTATTGCAGTTAATCTCTGAACTTATAAACTCCAAGCAGTCTCCTCCAGCAGAATCTTAATATAAATCATTTACCTCTCCCTTCCCACTTATAGCAAAAAGATTTTGATTTTTAAATATCAATGTTCAGAAATCTTTAATGTCCCCTTAGCTTTAATTTTCAAAATTAGTTACCTTCTGTTGCCAAAGCGGGTGTTTCCAATTTCCATTGCTATCTCCGTAGGGAAGGAGAGTGAAGAAAAAAAAACTTTCCCTTTTCACTTTCATCCGCAGCTTTTTACGATCTTCTTGGGAAACAATGTATCCTTTAGAGAGCTAGATTTCCAGGGTGTTCAGATGTTACTTATTGTCCCGGTTCAGCCAAAAACTTTCACTTTCTCAACTTCCTCCTGCACAAACTTGTCCGGCTGAGAGGTTCTTTGTGGCAGCCATTGCTGACCGCCGCTCCACCGCCTTTGGAAAAGGGAGTTTAGCCGGTTGAGGAAGGGGTTTGCGATGCCCCCGGACCCCTGCCCGGATCTCCCCTGTCTTCAGTTATCCCTACAGGATAACTATAGCCTCCAAATCCAGCTGGATCGGAGGCACTCCAGCAGCGAGCGCAGCAGGGATCGCGCACAAACGTGAATTCCTGCTGCCTCCGAAGCCTGACAAACCGGAACTCCCAGATTCTCAGAAGTTTTAAGATTCATTGTGTTCATCCAGGTCTAGCTTTCCTTCTGTCATAGTAAACAAAGGTTTTTGAAGTGTTCCCTTCTCTTACTCGCCCTTCGTTGTGCTGTTTTAGTGTATACTAGTTCCTGATCAGATGGTTCTTCAGTGTCACATTGCTAAAATTAAAAGACCAAGATAGAATCAGCAGATGTATAGAAATAGGTGAGTAGAACCCGTTGGTAATTTGGGTAGCTTGCATTCTTCTGGAGAAGCATCTGCATTATCTTTCTCCCTTTTGCCGTATTTGGTGCTCTTAACGATATCCATGCCCATTCTAAATTACGATTGGTTTTTAAAAATGTGAGAAATTTTACCAAGTACCTGAATCTCATGAACGTTTGGTGTCCTCACATAAAATCTTCATCTGTTGAAATGTAATCATGTTGTAAAGTTTGGAGAGATTTTTATTGGTGGGCGCCCATACCCTCATGCAAGATCACATAATGGCAACTGTTCTTTGAAAAGGCTGCTATTGATCTTGGTGTTGCATTATAAACGAGCTGAGAATAAAGCAGCAATTCTTACTTCTTCTGAGGCTTCATACGTCATCATCATTATCAGCCATTCAATCATGTCTGACCCTTAGCTGTTCCATGGATCAGCATTCTCCATGCCCCTTTGTCTCGCACTGCTTCCTTCAGATCCACCAGAGTCATCCCAGGGTCATCTTTTATAGTGTCTGTAGTGATAGCAGTAGCCCTTATATACCACTTCACGATGCTTCACAGCCCCCTCTAAGCAGTTTTACATGGTCAGAACATTGCCCCCAACAATCTGGGTCCTCATTTTACCCAGCTCAGAAGGATGGAAGGCTGAGTCAACCTTGAGCCTGGTGAGATTTGAACTGACAAATTGCAGTCAGCCAGCAGTCAGCAGAAGTAGCCTGCAGTACTGCACTCTAACCACTGTACTCACCATAGTCTGGTTTCTTTCTTCAAATCCTCATTCAAACCAATGAGTGTGAACTAGATGAGATTAAGAGGGGTAAAAGCAAGGTTTCTAGCAGATATCACACCATATGTGACATGGGGAAAAGCGATGCACTACAGAGCTTTTAGGTTGATAATCTATTCCCTTCTGGTTCTCCCCATGTATTTTCAGACCTGAATGTTTCTGCATACTGAGAATTGTGTTTATTTTTAATATTCTTAAAGGGAACATCAAAGGGAAAGGCACAGGCACCGGGATAGTCGACGATCGCCATCTACAGAAAAGTCCTATAGGAAAGACCACAAAAGAACAGGAAGGTAAGATGTTTGACTCTAAGGAGCTATATAGCCAGTTCTCACTTAACAACCACAACCGAGGTCGGAATTTTGGTCGTACGTTGTCATGGTTAAGCGACTCTCTGCATGATCTGATTTGATCTTCTGACCGTTTTTATGATGGTCACAAATTGATCCATTGTGGTCGATAAGCAAATTTCATGATTGTTAAATGAACCAGATGGTTGTTAAGAAAATCTGTTCTTCTGAATGGGCTTTCTTTTTGTCAGAATTTGGAAACAGACAAAAAAACCATCACAAATCATGGTTGTTAGGAATATAAGTCACCCAACAGGTATTTGGGTTAGAATATATAAACCAGGATAAACATTTTAGTACTATATCTTTAAGGGAATGCAAGAGCATGCAATTGGGTGTGGTTTCTCAAACAGCCATAAGATGGAGCCAGAAACCTGGTTTGCTTAGTCTGAGTCTCAGAAGAGAGTGTGAGTGTATCTCTGTTTCCTTCTGTTGGAAAGTATTGCCGTTGCTCCATTTCTTCTAATTGACTGATATTACTGGATTTAATGTAAGTCTGATACTGAACTGTTTTTGACACTGGAATTTGATATTTGGATTATCCCTGAATGAAAACTGACTGATTTTACCTGTGAATGACTTTGGACTGCCTATTTTGGACTTTGCTTAAACCTTTCTGGAAGTAAAAACCTACATTTACTGTACAGTGTATCTGTGTGCTCTGTGTGTATTATTCCAACACTACTTTCTATATGTCTCCCTGTAGGCGCTCATTCTCCTAACGGGGAATTACCTCAACAATGGTCACAGGATCATAGAGCACTGCAACTAGTTGTAAATGCGAGATAGTTGTCAAACACCTGAAACGTGATCATGTCACTGGGTGTGATGGTAGTCAAAACTTTAAGGACAAGTTGTAGGCAGGGGTGGGATGCTACCGTTTCTGCCCGGCTGTATAGAACTGGTAGCTTTGAAGAGCAGCAGACACAGAACCGGTTCTGTGTCTGCTGCTGTTTGGCCTACCCGCCCACCTGGGCTGTTACCTGACCTTTATTTCCTGCTTTTTCAACCTCAGCTGCTTTGTGCGGCACAGCTGAGGTTGAAAAAGCAGGAACATAGTGCTTTTTCAAATGCTGCGCACCCACGCGCATGCCTATCAGCTGTCTGGGCGGCAGAGCTTTAGGTGTATTACACACGCAAAACGCAATCACCGAACCGGTAGTAACACCCCTGGTAATCACCGAACCGGTAGAATCCCACCCCTGGTTGTAGGTACTGTGTATGTAGGCCGTGGCTTATAATTGGGGCTGGAATTTCCATTGCACCTGGCTTTACAATCTTTTTGCCATTGTTAAGTGAAGGTGTTCTGACCCAGCTCCCCAAACACGACAAACCCTCTGAAGTTAACTCAAAGATTCCTTTATTAGGAGCCCCAGCAAAAAGTTTCTCTCTCACCACAGGCTAACAAGTCTGTGGAGGGGTGATCGCAGGCGCATGATGCACGGTGGGGGAATCACGCACGCAGGCGCAGAGATGCATGGCGCACAGGGGGGAATAATATGTGCATATGTATGGAGCACGGCAAGGGGATCGCATGCGCAGGCATGCAGCACGCTGCAGGAGGATCGTGCGCACATGCACGGGGGGGTGGGGCCAGCACGCATTGCGCGCACAATTATCGGCAAGGGAGCTGAAAAAGGTTTGCCACCACTGCACTGTAGTGCACTGTATTTACATGTGAACCGGGGTCAGTTTTGCTATTAAATGTGGACTTTTATTTCCTTCCCTTCTTGCACAGTCGATCTCCCAGCCAGGACCGAAAGAAACCCCGTTGGGAAGAGGACAGGGAGCGGTGGTCAGAAAATGCCAGTCGAGAGAAGAGTTACACCTCCATCAAGGACAAAGAGCCAGAAGAGGCTACAGGTGAAAAGAACGAGGAAGAAGATGAGGATCTACTGAAGCCAGTGTGGGTTCGTTGTACCCATTCAGAAAGCTACTATTCAAATGATCCCATGGATCAAGTGGTATGTATTCTGAGGAATTCTGGCAACCAATTACTTGGGTTATAAATAAAAGTGACTGAAGAAGAACAGGTAATAATTTTTCCCCAGGCCTTCTGCAGCTCTCTCAACTCACCATAAGGTTTCTCTGGAGTGTTGGGCTATGACTTTCAGAACATTACTCAAAATTGTTGTGATGGGACAGGTGTCTGATTTTAGGTCAACGTCTTATTCTCTTCCACTTTCTTTTCTACACATTATTTTGCTATGTTACAGGAAGAATTTACCAATCTCCCAGAGTCTTCTCATGGGCTGCAGAAAGGGAGGGAAAATATGAAGTTTACTTTCCACAGCTAATTTTAGTTAATTTCAGGATCCTTCCTTCTCTGAACTGTGGAATAAAATATAATACGATTTTTTCATGGAATGACCATTCAGTCTGCTGTGATGTTAGCACTCTCACCAAGAAAATAGTACGGATTGGAATATAAGACAAGCAAACGATATACTTCCAGAAAAAGTAGAAATATTCTTCAGTGCATTTGGGGATTTGGGGGCTCAAATATATTTGCATTTAATAAAGGATTTGGGGGCTCAAATATATTGAGCTGCCCAAGAAAAGCTGGATTATTCTGAGTATCGTCTCCCCATTTATCCTGGTTTAAACCAACATGAGATTGTCCAACTTAAAACCTTCCCTTTAAAATCTTTTTAACAATTACAACTTTCCATTCTGTATGTTCCCTTAATGCTAATGCTGTGAAAACAACCCAAACAAAATTTCTTGGAAACCAAATCTGATCACTGTTTATGGTACATGCATACATAATCCAGACTCTCTACTAGTAGTCCTCATTTAGCATTCACAATTAATTCCACCAAAATAGTCACTAAGTGACATGATTACTACCTGAAGAGAGAGTGGGAGACTTGTGAAAATTTCTGGCTATTGCCATGTTATTTAGCTAAAGTTCTCTCATGCAACAATGCCAGCGTTACTCTGGCACGCGTTGTTATCAGGTGCAGAATTTTTGGCACATAGGCATGTATTGGTTGGAGAAAATAGTTCCCTAGTGAGGCAGTTGCTCAATGAGGATTACTTGTGATTGTGAATGTTACATATCTTAAATTAGAGTTTATATTAGCTAATGGAAGTAATTAAGGATGCCTGGTATTTGTATGTATACCAAGTAAATAAGATAGGGCAGGTGCATGGCTGCAGAATTGTAGTTTTGAGCCCAGGAGCATCTAGAATAATAATAATAATAATTTTAAAAAACCCCGCAGTTGTATCATTTATTGGATTACAATGTCAGTTATTGGATGGGCTTTTTTTTTTCCATAGCAAGGAGATGGTCGGAGAAAAGGTTTAACTAAAGCTTGAGGTTACAATTAAAAATCAGATGTATTTTTTTAAAAAAAAAACCTCATCAGAGGTTAAACTATCCACATTGATTCTTTTTGTCAAATTGAATTTAATGTTAAACTTTTAATTATAGTTTTACACTTGATCTGTATACCATTTTTGTGAACTGCTTTGAACATCACTTTTAGGAGAAATATGGGATATCGCTTTAAACATTGCATGTTTTTTTTTTTTAGGTTTACGGACATATAAAGTAGGGATATTCATAAAATAAAAATACACAGCCTAGTGTATTCCCTGTTGTGTGCCTACTTACTGTCCAACAATCTTCTCCTGTCATTTTCTCAGCTCTGTGAGCAAGATGCAAAGGGTCAGGCACAGGAGACTTATTTTATTTTATCCTGCCTTCCTTGTTTTTATAAATAAAAATGTGGCGAACATTTACAACGCTACTTCTATTTTCCCCACAGTAACTGTTCTGTGAGGTGAATTGGGCTGAGAGAAAGTGACTGGTGTAACTTACCCAGCCAGCTTTCATACCTAAGGTGGGATTAGAACTCATAGTTTCCTGGCTTCTAGCCTGATGCGTTAAACACCTGCCTACAGAAATTGCTTACTTCTTCTTTCCCCCATAGAGAGAAAGGTATTACAAGAGAGTAAGTGAGGATACAACATGGAACACATGTCAAAAGCAATGTGGTGCGCTGGCACCCTTAAGCGCGCTCAACTAAAAGCTGGTGTATTCCCCATTGTGTGCCTTGTTACTCTCTTGTAATCCCCCTTTCTCCAATTTCTCTGCTCTGCAAAGGAACAACAATAAATATTTTTTTTTTTTTTTTAAAACAAGTTTTATTAAAAGTTTCAACAACAAACAAATCATTACATATTAAATCTTTCCCTGTCTTTCTACAATAATTTCCCCAATATTCTCATAAAACACAAACAAACACAAACAAACATAAAAAAATCTTTTAGTAAAGTACCTTGGCCCCAGTTACCTCTCTTTGCATGGGCTAAAATAATAGCGCATATCACTCTTCACAATTCTATCTTATTTAATCCATCTTAATTAAATCATTAAATTTGTATCTTTTGCCCATTCATTATCCCTCTATCTCTTCTTATAATAAAAAGAATTTCTCCTGAAATCACTAATCAGAGTATGATGCCTTTCTATCCTCCCCCTAAGTTAGTAAAATTAACATTCAACATAACAAATACCCAATTTGGTTCTGCTTGGTACATTCTATCCACCAAAAATGTTTAAATACATTGTATCCTCCTTTCCTTCGATATTTTATTACATTTCAAAAATCAATCGTTATTAAATCAATCAATATTAAAAACTTCAACATTTCAATTTTAAACTTCAACATTTTAATTTCTTATTAAATCTTAAACCATTCTAATTTACTATTTCAAATATAAATGTTACAATACCATCTTCTGTACCTTAGCAGAATCTTTCTTACAGAAATTTATATTTCATCCTTTGTCTCTAAAAAAAATCCCTCTTCTCCCATCCAATTTTAAAGCTTTGAGGCTTTTCTCCGCCTTTCCCCTTTCTTTCTTCCCCCACCAAATCTTCCTACCCCCCCTTCTTCTTCTAACCTCTGCCTTGCTGGGATCCCTTCTCTGTTGTGTTCCCTTTTTCTCTTGTTTATTATCATTATATTTATTTTGCATCATATTTTTCTCTTTCTCAAATGTTTTTTTAAATCTTAAGTCCTTCATTTTCCTTGCTCTCTTCCTTCCTTCTTCCTTAGATAAGTTTTGGGATTCAATGAAGATGGCGTCTTCGTCTCTTCCTTGTTGTTCTTCTTCCGTTTCCATCTGTTCCATTGTCTGTTGGTAATTGACCAGCGCCATTTCTAGAAATAGAAAAGCTTTTTCCATGCCATCTTTGCAGGCTGCTTTTGTTTGCTCATATTCATCCCTCAGGTCTTCAAAAAGGAAAGCCATTATAAATAAATCTTTTCTTTTCTTTATTCCTCTTCCTTCTTACACCAACCAAATATTCCGAGAGAAAGGCAAAACAATCCCAAAATCCACAATCCTCAATAAATCCAAGCAAGCCAAAATTCCCCCTTCCTCTTCCAGGGGTGGTATCAAACAAATAAAAAAAAAGAGTCCAAATCTATATTTTAAAGCCTTGTTAAAATTATATTTCTGTCCTCAAGTCTTCAAGGCATCTCCTCCAACAAGATCCAAATTTATATATTTTCTTTATCCTCTCCCTTCCGGCTTAATTCCGTCGGGAGGGAGAGTAAACTTTCCCTTCAGCACCTCAAAATAGCCGCTTTTTTTTTCTCTTGTGGAAAAAATCATCAAAAAACCATCTTTTCCAGGAATTAAATTAGATAAATCTCAAAGCCCTGGGTCAACCAAGAAGAACTTTCACTTTCAATAACTTTCTCTTCTTCCTCCTGCGCATACTTGCCCGGCTGTCAACTTCTTTGTGGCGGCCATTACGGACCGCCGCTGCACCGTCCTGGTAAAAGGGGGTTCTGCCGGCCAGGGAGGGGGTCTGCAACACCCCCAAACCCTTCCTCCGGATCCCCCTTACCTTCAGCTACCCCTGCAGGGCAGCCTTGCTCCGCACCCGTCCGGGTCGGAGCCCCAAAACGGCTAGCGCGGCAGGGATCGCGCAGCTTCGCGAATCCCTACCGCTCGCGAAGCCGACAAACCGGAAACCTCGAACAACAATAAATATTGAGTGTAATGGTGAATACGTGACTGGGGATCATGTAACTGAAGGATAGCACCATTATAACTTTTAATGATTTCTGAAAGTTAGTAAATGAGGGCTTCCTGTATGCAGTTATACAAGGCTTTTTTGGATAAGGAAATCCTGCAGTCCTACCCGTCAGTTATTACCTTATGTTTGGTTGCAGCTTATTATAAATGGGATTTTATGATTGTTTCACAAAAGAACAATTTACGCTTGCATTGCGTGCTGTTTACAACTTGGAAATGCTTTTGCTGCTGCTAAAACCACAGAGAGCAGATGATCTCTCATGTCCATCTGTATGGAGCAGACCATTTCCCCACATTTTTATTACTCTGCATTAGTGGTCAATGCTGGGTGGATGTTAAGTATTACTCTGTGGTGGAATAGCTATGTTTACATGCCAGCACCGATATAAATGATTTGCATGAGGAGAGATTGTTTTTAAATAGCCAGATTGCTTTCAGCAGATCCCCATCTTCTCAAAACAGCTGTAACTTTTTCTGTTTTCCCATGGTTGCATTTGCAAGGGGGATTCCACAGTGGTGGGTACGAGCCGGCTCAGAGATTTGTATGAAAAATTTGAAGAAGAGCTAGGAAAGCGTCAAGCAAAGGCCAAAGCTGCCAGGCCTCCATGGGAGCCCCCTAAAACTAAACTGGATGAAGATGTAGGTGAGTCATATGGGTAAAAAAGTCTACATGTTGCGGGAAGATACTTTTTATTTTCTTGAAGAGGTAACCAAATTCACCTCTTTCTTTAGGTCCTTGAACCCTGTATTAAGTATTCAGTTCTTCAAACTTTTTCTCTGTTGTGGGAAGCTGGAATAAGATAAGAAAGCCTATCATATCATCATCATCTTTGAAGATGTTTTGCTTCTTCAGCTTCTTGGAGGAGAAGCGAAATGTCTTCAAAGAAAAACCAGAAAGTCCAGTTGCCTCTTGAAAAAGCACCTTTGGGACAACTGTGATCTGGATGATTGACAATCTCCATAGATGATGTTGTCATCATCATCATCATCACCATATTTATTAAATTTTATTCCTCCTTTATTATTTTGATAAAGGGGGTGCACATACCTAATTCTCTTACCTCCTATTTTTCCCACAAAAAAATAACCCTATGAGGTGAGCTAAAGATAGAGAGTGACTGGCCCAATATCACTCAGCCGGCTTTCATAATTAAGATGGGACTAGAATTCTGGCCTGAGTGGGACGCTGTGGCTCAGTGGCTAAGATACTGTTGGTCAGAAAGATTGGGAGTTTGGCGGTTCGACTCCCTAGTGCCACGTAATGGAGTGAGCTCCCGTTACTTGTCGCAGCTTCTGCCAACCTAGCAGTTCGATAGCACGTAAAAATACAAGAAGAAAAATGGAGACCACCTTGGTAAGAAGGTAACAGTGTTCCGTGCGTCTTCGATGTTTAGTCATGCCGGCCACATGACCACGGAGACGTCTTTGAATAGTGCTGGCTCTTCGGCTTTGTAATGGAGATGAGCACTGCCCCCTAGAGCCGGAAATGACTAGCATGTATGTGGGAGGGGAACCTTTACCTAGAATTCTGGCCTCATGGTGTCTTAATCACTAAACCAAACTGGGTCTATATTGTACAGGCAGTCCTAGACTTACAACAATTTCATTTAGTGACCAAAGTTATAACAGTATTGAAAAAAGTGACAAGAACGTTTTTCATGCGACCATTGCAGCTTCCCTCATGGTCACGTGATCAAAATTCAGATGCTTGGCAAGTGGCTCATATTTATGGTGGTCACAATGTTCCGGGGTCATGGGATCACCTTCGATGACCTTTTGACAAGCAAAGTCAATGGGGAAGCCAGATTCACTTAACAAACGTGTTTACTAACTTCACAACTACAGTGTTTCACTTAGCAGCTGTGGCAAGAAGAGTCAGGAAGTGGGGCAAAGTTCACTTAGCCAATGTCTCGCCTAGCAACAGAAAATTGGGGCTCCATTGTGGTCATAAGTTGAGAACTACCTATATTGCATTTCATTGCATTACGTGAGACATAATTCTCTATATTGTCTATGACGCCTGAGAAGACTAGAATGATATTTGCATTATTTTTCTCATGAGAGAGCCTATGCCATTGTATATTCAGAAAGCTGTGGCAGATTTTTGGAATGCAAAGAGATGTCATATTTTGAAGATAAGGTCATGGATCTTTGACTTTTTTGAATCTATTAAGATTTGCATTCTTTTTGGAAGTAATTTTTGGAGGCCCAAGTGCCAATGATGGGCAGAATCAGAACCAATAATGAACAGATTTTGCAACTTGGCAGTATTTATGTTTGTTTTTTTACTTTCTTTTCATGTCTATTTTACATGTGAGACCACAGGTTTTCTATTCCCATTTTTAACATCGGGAGTTGCAGGCATGAGCAGCCTACTCCAAAGTCTTACTAGTTACAGTAGTCAAAATATTCTTTACTACAGATGATTATATCAAAGAATAATACTTTTCATTTACATTTTGATAATATTTTATAGTGAATCTTAGCTTTTCAAAAAAAAATTCAGTATAAGAACTACAACAATTAGATTCAACTTCTCACTTACTAATCCAGTTAATAGAATTTATAAAATAGTCTTTTAGATGTTTAATTATCTCTTGTTATTGCAGCAGTGCTTTCTGAATTTTTTTCCTTAATTGAATTGATTAAAAAATCACTATATGATCCATACTATTTTTAACAGAGTCATTAAAACCAATTTTAATCCCACACTAACTTTCTGGTTTATCATTCCAATGTATAACTTTATTTTATTTCATCCATTCCATTTATCCCATTCTCTATATGTCAGGGCAGTTTTATGAAAGGCTGGATGCAAGAAATAATTGATACTGAACCAGGAGCAAATGTGAATGAATCCTATGATGATCTGTCTATTTTAAGAGAGGCTACCCAAAATGATGAAAGTATAATTTAATTTTGCCTTAATTTTGATATGCTGTGGCTGGGCCTTTGGAGCGGTGTCTACCTCATTTAATGGAAACCTGTTTAACATCTGCATGAAACTGTTGGGTGAGGTCATCTACCAGTTTGGGGTTTGGTATCAATATGCTGATGATACAAAAAAGTATCTTTTTATCCTCATCTGCCCAAAATGTGCACTTGAGGTACTATCTCAATGCCTGGAGTCTGGGGAAAAATCACCTTCAACTTAAACTGATCAAAATTGAGTGGCTGTGGTTATTTGATTCCCTCATAACCAGGATTTCTTGGAATCTTAGTTGCCCTTCCCTATTCAAGACCGGTGTATAATCTGCAGGTCTTCTTAGATTCATAGCTGCTGTTGGAAGAACAGGTGGTAGCTATGGCTAGGAAGGCCTTTGCATAATTCTGTCTTCTGTGTTGGTTGAGCTGGATCAAGAGGCTGTAAGACAGTCACTCGTGCCCTCATCACAACATGGCTCAGCTATTGCAGTTTGATCTACTTGGTCTTTCTTTCTTCCTTCCTTCCTTCCTTCCTTCCTTCCTTCCTTCCTTCCTTCCTTCCTCCCTTCCTCCCTTCCTTTCTTTCTTTCTTGAATTTATATTGCCACCTATTCGCCCATGGTGACTCGAGACGGCTTACAGAATGTAAAACCATATTTAAAATAAAAAACAATAAAAATGAACAAAAAGAATCAAATAAATTGATAAAGTACAATAGAACAAAATCTGGGGGAAAATAAATAAAAAAATCACCTCCCAACTCCCATCCCCTGCCCCGACGACAGCAGATCACACGAGCCATTTGATGGGCTCCATCCATCTCTGGCTTCCCCAGGCCTGCTGGCAGAACCAGGTCTTCAGTGCTTTCTGGAAGAGTATTAGAGAGGGGACCTTTCTATCTCTGGGGGAATGATATTCCAGAGAGAGTGAGCCACCATGGAGAAGGCTATTCTTCTGGGTCCCACCAGGTGATGGCACCTGCAATTTATGAGATGCACTGGTTGCTGGTATGCTTCTGGGCTCAATTCAAGGTGCTAGAGAGACTCTACATGGTTCTGCATGACATTATCCTGAGGGTCCACTTATATCCCATGGTTTCCGCCCAATTGGTAAAAGATGGTAGAGTTGGCGCACTTAACAATATCATTGTGTACATTCTCTGTCACGGCACCCCACCCTCTGCAATGAAATCCTTCCTGAGATTTGTGGTCGTTGTCCCAACAACCCTTATGGTTGTGGTCCCAAGCCTTGGGCTAGGGAGGATGGGATCCCCCCTTCCTTATTGGATGAACTTTTGTACGAGTTCCTCATTGAGTGATCAGTTGAGTGCCACCTTGGTTCTTCATGTCTTATTGTGGTTTCATTTCATTTTTTTTTTTAATATTGTGAACTTCCCAGCACCATCTCAGTCGGGGCAGTCAAATTTAATAAATAAACAGTGAGCGGGTGAGTTAAGTTGATTCGAAGGAAGCACTCGTTGACCGCCTCTTCAGTGTCTCTCCACTTCTGGAACGAAAGCCCATTGGTCGACCAGTGACTCACATGAGACTTCCAAGGAACACAAAGGGGGTGGCAATTTTCTTCATCTCCCATTTTGTTGTCTCTTGATTCCTTCAGGGAGCTCCAGCGACTCTGAGTGCGACTCGGAAGACGACAGCTGTTCCAGCAGTTCTGACTCGGAGGTTTTTGATGTCATTGCTGAAATTAAGCGGAAGAAGGCCCACCCTGATCGCCTGCACGAGGAGCTGTGGTACAATGATCCTGGACAGGTACTCCACTTGAGGAAAGAAGCGAAAGGCTTCTCAGGAGCAAGATTTATTTTATTAGTGACTCATTTGCTGCATTGGTTTCAGCCTCTCCAAGTTTATTTTTTTTTAGCTAGCTAGCTCTGTGCAGGTACAATAGTTCATTTAGTGACTGTTTGAAAAAACCCCTTTCGACTATTTTTTCCATTTACGACTATTTCAGCATCCCCATGGTCCTGTGATCAAAATTCAGACGCTTGGCAACTGACTCATATTTATGACTGTTACCATGTCCTGGGGTCACATAATTCTCTTTTGCGACCTTCTGACAAGCAAAGGCAATGGGGAAGCTAGATTCACTTAACAACTGTGTTACTAACACCTGCAATGATTAATTTAACAACAGTGGCAAGAAAAGTCATAAAATGGAGCAAAATGTACTGAACAAATGTCTCACTTACCAACAGAAATCAGTTGTAAATTGAGAACTACTTGTACTTAACTGGGGGTATTGAGTAGAATTGTCTCACTTATCAAGCTGGGGCACTATTAAATATTACAGGTTCTGCTGGCCTGATAAATTGGCCACTCTGGTACAAAATCAGCCTTGGCTTTACCAAAAGGCAGATGATTTGCTTGTTTGTTTATTTAAATAATTTCCCGCCTTCTTCCTTTTAGTAAATAATAAGCAAATCATCTGCCTTTAAGTAAAGCAAATAGTCTTCCAAAAGACATCTTCCTGGGAACTGGTACTCCTTAGTGGGGCTCCTTGGGAGAAAATTTGCAACTTTCCCTGCCATCTTCCCCCTTGTCTTTGCTTTGGGAAGCAGGAGGGAAGGTGACAAATGGTGATTGTGTGATGGTGGTTTGCTGTCATGTAGTTGTGAACCGAGCCTTTGAGTGCCTGAATTGTGATCATGGAGGTCCTGTAACTGCCACAACTTTAAGACCAGTTGCAAGTACCTTCGTTCAGCACTGTTGTAATTTTGAACGGTCGCTGAATCATGGTGGTAACTTGAGGACTATCTAGGACAGAGGTGTCAAACTCAAGGCCCGTGGGACAAATGTGGCCCACAGGATGCTTAGATCTGGCCCACGGGCCCTTTTTTAAAATCTGGATTATTTCCTTAGGATATTGTGAGGTGAGCGAGACCAGCTGGTATCTTTAAGTGGTGCAAATGGATCTAAGGATTGCTTTTCCTGGGTGTGCTCTTTCTGGAGAGCTTCAATGACCTCTCTGCTAAAAGGTTTCACTTAATGAACAAGAGTTGGCTGCTGATAGTTATTATTGCATTTTAACTATTTTAATTCCTCAAGGTACTCTTGTACCCTGCCTGATTAGTAATTCTGGCTTGCAGGTATTTTTAATCTAATGATTGGTATTTAGGGAAGCTTTTTGCAAGCAAAGAAGCTTTTTGTATTTTTGCACAGGTAATCCTTAACTTACAACAGTTCATTTAGTGACCATTCAACGTTACAGTAGCACTGAAAAAAGTGACTTATGACCGTTTTTCACATTTACGACTGTTGCAGCATCTCCATTGTCATGAAAGGCCTGGTGAGGAGAAGTGCTCCTTGACGTGAGTGACGTTGAGTTGGCCACACTCACCCAGTCACATGACCACCAAACCATGACCACCAACTAAGCCATTAGTGGTTAAGTGGAAAGCCATTAGTGGTTAAGAGTGTGGCAAATGTCAAAGATGAAGAGATCAAGAAACTTTTTACAACAAAAGGAGTTCAATTCAGTCGTTTTTACAAGTATTTTGGCTTATGTTCTTTTTACCTTATGCTCATTTTTCATTCATTTTGTAGAGAGATTAACCTACAGCTTAGATTTAGAATAAATTTATGGTCACTTTGAATGTACACTAATTGGCATACATTAAAATGAAATTTCATTGCATACAGCTCTCAAAGGCTCACCACCTCCAATATACACCACATAAACATGACAAAATAAATAAATAAATACAAAATTATGCATATACCCACATATATTATGCAAACATTTGGGCATTCCTGTCAAGTTGTCTATTTCAATAAATCTGTAAGTGAGCAGAAGGGAACACAACCTATATGTCAGGTGTTCTTAATTTATTTGTGCCATGGACTGCTTCATAGAAAAATATATTCAAATGCATAAAATAAAATGCATAGATATAGCTTGTATCACAAAGGAATCCACTTGTGCTTAAATTCAGCTATTAAAATATTAATGGCTTGTATGGATATTTAGCTACAAAAGAACCTTTCAAATGCAAATTCTGTTCACCATTATCCTGCTTTCAGAGGAAAATGTAGCTCATAAATTAAATGTATTTGTACTTCATTTTTTTAGGGTATAATAATTATTCTAGTGAGGCTGATTGAAGTTAATCTTTTTTGGGGGGAGTCTACGGGCATAAATGACTTGGTTGCATATATTCTTATTAAATTATAAGCTAAACTTCAGTTAAAATTTAGTGAAAATAAACTTGTTATATTTTTCCCATCCAAGTATACAGAACCCTAAAATTTAACGTGGACCCCCAAATTTAAAACTGCTTACTTTACAGGAACAAAGTTGAAATTGAAATGTAGCATCTTTTTGCCAATTTGAATGTTTCCTTATAACTGGTGTCCAATTGTTTACAGGTTAAAAGTATGGCTGCAGTGACTTCCTTCTTGTTCTATATTTTTTTTTTCTGTTTCACATCCGTTTTTTTACATTTTTGTCCCCCAATTAGTCATTAAATCTAAATTGAACTTCTCAATTTAAATGGAAATAGATGGCCTTGGCGTTTCTAAAAGCAAATTAGGTAGAACAAGTCTGTTTACCTTAAAATCCCAAGATGGTTAATGCTAAAGAACACGACGGTTGTCGACAAACAAGAGCTAATGATGTAAATTGTATTAGCTATCCTTTTTCATTTGGTTGTATCCATGTATCAAGGCGTCTTGGTGTGTTGTGTATTGCTTTCATTTAATTTAAAACAAACACAGGATGGAAAGCACTTAAAATTGTTGGTGTATTGCTTTTGTGTCCTGAACTCAGCTTTGCAAATAATAGGGCTACAGTCTGCAAACATAAATTTAGAAAGATCAGCCAGTTATATTGAAGCAAAATCATAGGCTTACTTACTCTTCTGATATAAAAGCAGCAATTTGAGCATCTTACACACTCCCCCCACTTCCATTCTGAGAGCATCTTCTGAATTACTCTGACACCTTGAATGAGATTTGAAAGATGGTATTCAATAGACAGAGTTTAATTTTGAAGACTATATTTTGTTTTAATATTGCCTATGTTCTTGTAGTGTTGAAGGCACCGGAAATTGAAATATTCCCAGAGAACAAATACTAAGCTGTATCCAAAAGCACTAGCTACCACCAATTTCTTTATAAGAATCATATGCTTCTTGAGCTATCTTTTTCTTTTCATAATAGTGTTCCTTTGTGGACCATCAAGCTATTGTTAGTAGAAACTTCAAATGTGCTACAGTGCTCTTTAAATTCTGAATAAGAAAGGAGTTCTGTGTGAACAAAATAGATTTGGGAGGAGAAATTGTGTCTCCACCCCCCAAAAAGAAAAATGTAGAAGTTTCAATCAATGTTTAGCTTATAATTTTCATGCTCCTCTTTCCTTAAAAAGGTGGGATATTGCCTACTACTGAATTTTGGGACAATTGGGATATAGAGCAATGGCCTCCAACCTTTTGGGCACCAGGGACCGGTTCTGTAGAGAGAGATTTTTCCAAGGACTGGAGGGGGCATGATTTCACATGATGCCTGCATTCCACGGGTTTCGCTTGTTTGCGTGGCCCAGTTTCCGTCATGCCACGGCTTGTCCACGGATCGGGGGTTAGGGACCCCTGATACAGAGGAATTCCAGAACATGGGGAAAAAATAACAAGTGTCCTTACTGCTCCCATTAGCCCAGCCCTGAACTAAAGAGAATAATAGAGGAAGTATTGTTATGACCTCAATTAAGTCCAAAATTTCTGTTAAGCGAGACATTTATTGAATGAGTTTTGCCCCATTTTATGACATTTCTTGCCACAGTTGTTAAGTGAATCACTGAAGTTGTTAGTAACCCGGTTGCTAAAGAAATCTGACTTCCCCATTGAATTTGCTTGTCAGAAGATCAAAGCAAAAAGTGATCACATGACACACAGCAAGCATCATAAATATAAACCAGTTGCCAAGCATCACAAAGGTTGGAACTGTGAACAATGGTCATAAATCACTTTTTCAGTGCCATTATAAGTTTGAACGATCACTAAATGAACTGTTGCAAGTCGAGGACTACAGTAATCAGAGTTGGCTTCTAGTGCTTTTTATTAGGGAGGCTAATAACTGGAAATTTCAGGAAAAAAGCATGCAGCTTGTCTTCAACTTACAACCATTCATTTATTGACTTCAAAGTTACAACGGCACTGAAAAAAGTGACTAAAGACCATTTTTCACACTAAGCAACCATTGCAGCATCTCCATGGTCATGTGATGCTTGGCAACTGGTTCATATTTATGACGATTGCTGTGTCCCGCTTTTTGCTTTGATCTTCTGACAAAGTCATTGGGGAAGCCAGATCCCCTTAACAACCGGGTTGCAACTGCAGTGCTTCATTTAACAACCCGGCAAGAAAGGTCATAAAGTGGTTTGCTTAGTAATAGAAATTTGAGCCTCAATTGTGGTTGGAAGTCGAGAACTACCTGTATAATGTGATCTCTTCGTGAATTCATGTAGGAATGTTTTATGTCAAACCTTACTTTAGGTAGAAAGCTACTATGTGGACAAGAAGCCTAGGCTAAAATTAGATTCTAAGCATTCAATACCCCCTAATAAAAACGATTGGGTATCATTCTGACAACTTCCATTTATGAATCTGAAAGTGGACACAGCTTGGAAAGTACTATAATCCATTTTTAAAATCTTTAGTTTTATGAATAATTATTACCTTAGCAGTGTTTAGATAAATAGATGCATCGGCTCTACTTTCCATATTACCTCAATTTTTTAAAATGAATGCCTTGTCTGAGCAGCAGAAATTCAGATGGACACTAGATGGTACCAAAAAATGGAAGAAAATTCTTACCTTCTGCTGCCACCTAGTTGCCGTTTGGACTTTTGCAACCCAGATAGGTACTTCTCCTTAAATAGATCACATTTCAGCCTCTTGGTATTGATCTGGAGATCTTTGTTGCAGTTTCCGTAACAACAGCAATTTCATCATCAGGATTTCGTCCTGATTTTGGTGAGGAACAAAATAAGACAGGATTAGGCTTACTCTCTCTAGAAAAAGCTTCCCTGTTAAAGAAAAAAGTCTTAATAATAACATCAACATCATAGGTAGTCTTTTACCTACAAACATAATTAGATAAGAGAAGATAACCTTTATTGCCATTTTTTTTTCTGTGGGCACTCTGGCACACATAAAAAAAAATCAAATTCTGTTGCCTGTTCTCAAAAGTGTACAGATACCTAACACACATATAGATATGCTATATACATATATATGTATTGAGTCTGGAATTATGGTCGTAAGTCATGCTGGACATTAAGGGGGTCACTATGTGGGCCAGTTGCCGAGCGCCCAAATGCGATCACATGACAGGTGGAAGGGGAGGGGGAGGGGCAGCCATTGAAACCTCAAAACCAGGTTGTAAGTAGCTCTTGGAGACATCCATCATAATTGTGATTGATTAAGTCGAAGGCCGCAGGACTTAAAAAGATCTGTGGTCCTTGGATGTTTGCCCACTCTCTTTAAATATTCCTCTTTTTAAGTAGTCCACTTTAACCCTTTTTTCTTTCAAAACAGATGAACGATGGGCCTCTTTGCAAATGTAGTGCCAAAGCCAGGAGAACAGGAATACGGCACGGAATCTATCCTGGAGAAGAGGTAACCGGATTTTCATTTCTCAATGAGAAGAATTGCTTATGGAGATGGCTGACTATGGGCAGATCTGTCAGACTGATCTAAAATGAGGCTTTGTTTTCTATTAGCCCAGATTTGGAGCCCTGTAACTCTCGGCATTTCTCACCATTGGGCAAATTCATTGAGAGTTGGACAGCATACAAGTCTTAATAAATTATTATTTTCAGGGACCGCTGGAATCTTTCATCTATATTTGGAAGGGCTGTAGCTAGAAGGAGAACAACTGTTAGCTTGAAGGCAACCCGTATGAAGGAAATATACCCAGCAGGGAATGATAGGCTGGTTCAGTCTTGATTAGCTTGCAGCTTTCCAGATGTGCAACACTGCAATTCTGTTAATGTCTTATACGCATAGCCTCTTGCTTCAGGTGGGAAGAGCTGAGTCAGCGCATTAATCTATTATTAACTCCCCTATTATTAACATTCCTCTGTCTATTATTTTCTTTTCTGGTTTATTCTACTTATATAATTTTTTAAAAAAATAATAATTATTATATAATGGTTTGAGGTAATCGTTTCAGATTTATTGTTTTAATGGATTGTTGTATGACATCCAGAGTCGTGTTCCTGAAATGGGCAGCTGTATAAATGTTATAAGCCATGGTGGCGCAGTGGTTAGAGTGCAGTACTGCAGGCTACTTCTGCTGACTGCTGGCTGCAATTTGGCAGTTCAAATCTCACCAGGCTCAAAGTTGACTCAGCCTTCCATCCTTCCAGGGTTAGTAAAATGAGGACCCAAATTGTTGGGGGCAATATGCTGACTCTGTAAACCGCTTAGAGAGGGCTGTGATATATAAGTCTAAGTTGCTATTGCTCTTAGTAAATAAATACATAAATAATTATACTTAGATATTTTGAACATTGGGAAGCATCAAAACAGACAACTCCTTGCCCCCTCTCAACGCTCCCAAAGCAAAGTCCATTCCTTTCCTTTCCCTGGCAGAAACACAGCTTTAAATTGTATTGTTTCTGCTTCAGTTCAGCCATTCTCACTGGGGGGCTCTACAGAACACTTTCCCAACCTGGATGCCCTCCAGATGTGTAGACGTCACACTCCTCAGCAATGGCTGGGAAATCAGGCAATCCAGATGTATAAATGGTTCTAAATTCAGGACGGCTGGTTTAGAGAAAGCAGGATTTTTATGCTCTCTTGTGGAGATTAAGTTTCTTTCCTCATTTCTTTTCTCTCTTCTTAGGATCCAAGCTAATAATAGGTTTTCCTCCCTTCTCTGAAATGTAGAATAAAATATAATAAGATTTTTCATGTAATGACCAACCAGCCTGCCTTGATGTTTGAATTCCCGCCAAGTATGGATTAGAATATAAGACAACAAATGATTTACAGCCAGATAAAGTAGAAATATTCTTCAGTGCCCTTAATAAGTAATTTGAGCTGCCCAAGAAAAGTTGGATTATTCTGAGTATCATCTCAAAACCATTTGTCCTGGTTTGAACCAATACGAGATTGGCCAACTTAAAATCTTCCCTATAAAATCTTTTAAAAAATGACAACTTTCCATTCTGTAATGTCTACGTTCCCTTAATATTTATGCTGTAAAAAACCGAAATGAAATCTCTTCGCAGCCAAATGGCACCGGCCATTTATGGTACGTACATGCATAATGCAGACTCTCTACAGGCAGTCCTCATTCCACTGAAATGGTCATGATTTTTCTATTCTCTTGTGGGGATTAAGTTTCCTTCATCATGTCTTTAATCTGTTCTTCTCTCCTTAAAGCCTATTAAACCCTGCCGTCCTATGACCAACAATGCTGGAAGATTGTTCCATTACCGCATTACAGTGTCGCCTCCTACCAACTTCTTAGTAAGTAAATTGAAGCATGATAGCAGCTTCTTGAGCCTCCGAGGATGGCTTTCCCCAACTTTTGGTTTTATTTCTTTAGACAGACAGACCCACCGTCGTAGAGTATGATGACCACGAGTACATTTTTGAAGGATTTTCCATGTTTTCCCATGCTCCTCTCACAAATGTAAGTACACTTTCTTTTATACTCCAGTTGTACTGATGCTGTTACCTAATTGGGTAATGAAACGTCTGCAAGCAAACAAGCTCAGAGAGCAGTAGGGACCCCACAAATTCTGGTATTTTGTATAGTGCAGTGATGGCTAACCTTTTTGGCACTGAGTGTCCAAAACATCCCACCCCCTGCGTATGCACCCTTCCCCCTGCATGCACCCCTCCTTCTACGCATTTACTGCAGATTCCCAAAGTCCAGCTGGCTGGCGGGAGGCATGTGCACATGCGCAGTGAGGCTGAGCTGGAGCGACAGCTCGCGTACCCACAGAAAAGGCTCATGCATGCCATAGGTTCGCCATCACGGGTATAGTGTTTACCTTTCTGTATGTAAATAAGTTTCAGCTTAATTCCTAGGGCTATGCATGGTTCTGAAACATCTCGGAAAGATATGCTCTGTATGGTGGTTTGACATTGAAATGAGACACAGGGAACTGTCTCTGAGAAAATGCCAACCCTGAGAGAACTCAGGTAGCAGTATTTATTGAGAAAACACACAAGCAAAATATACAGTATGCATATTCAGAAAACAATGACCTCAACAGGAGATTACTTCACCAGCATGAGAACACACAATCTTGGAAAGTCCCAGATGTTACCTTGCTAGGGTGAGATCATACATACAGCCACAGAAAGTCTCATGGGAAAGTTTGGAAAGTCCCATGAGAAAGCACAACTGTGTATCTTGTACCTTGAACTTTCACCCATTTTCCTATTCCTTCTAAACTGGCAGAATCAAAACAGAATGAGGCACTCTGAGCAAAGATACTCCTACCCCCACCAAGAATGCCCACATCTTCCTAGACTTACTGCTAGTTATACAAAGGCCTTACAGAAAATGATAAAATGATCAATAGGTTATATTACCACACTCTGGACCTTGGACATCAGATGCCTGAAAAAACAGTGACAATGTTTTAAAACCTGCATTACTTTGAATGACCAAGTTCTTAAAGTAATGGAATCTTTGTTTACAGACTCGTGCAAGGGTCTGCAAAAAAGCCCGGGCTGCTTTAATGAATAGCAGAGTAAGGTCCAAAGCACTTCTTCCAAATAATTTTCCAAGCCAGCACAGCCCAATTAATTTCCCACCCCTGTTTTCGAGGGTTTTATTGGAACAATCCTCCAGGGGAAATTTTCTGTAGGATTAAAGAACCTGCTGCACAGCCGAATAAATAGTTTTGGAATAAAAAGTCCTTCATAATACGGTTTTGTATAGTACAGCTATTTACTTCTGTTTTATTATTTCTGAAGTTACTGCCAAATTGAAATGTGTAAGGTGCCTAGAGGGGGAAAACCAATACTTCTCCAGAGTTAATCATAAGAGTGATTTTCTATCTCCCTTGGGTTCATTTGAGTTTCTCAGTTTAGCCTGTATTCCATATAGCTGTTTTGTTTACTACTTTGTTTTATGAAACAGTGCATTTCTAAACATGTAAACATTTTTTTTGTAGAAGCCTATATTTTATAGAGAGGAAAAGTTTGGTTTTGGACTTCTCTAGAGCCTTATTTTCTCTGAAGAAGGGTATCTTTTCCTAAAACATCAAATGTTCTATTGCAAGAGAGAATTTTTGTCCTATTTTTGCATCTTCTTAATTCTCTTCTAAGCTCATAAGGCTTAACACATTCTACATAAACAGATCGATGGCAAAATGAGTCCCATATGTTGGAAATGCAAAAAAAAAAAATAGAAGAAGAAGAAGAGGGAACATACTACCATATGTGGTGGTCTTGCCCAAAGGCTCGAAAATACTGGCTTAAAATCAAAGATTGGTTATAGGAAATCACTAACGAACAAGACCTAGAACCGGAACTCTTCCTATTGGGGATCTTTTAAAAAAGTATGTAAAGAGCACAAAATATTTATTATTACATATATTGACTATTGCTAGAATCGCCTTTGCCCAATGCTGGAAACGGCCAGATATACCCTCAGAGAAACTTGTTATACAAAAAGTTATGAACTGTGCTGAAATGGACAAATTAACGCTGAGTTTAAAAGATAAAGAAACTTCAATATTTTATAAGGTGTGGGAACAATGGTATAGCTGGATAGAACAGAGATAGATTAAAGATAGATAGTTATTCTATATAAGTAATAGATAAAATAAGAATGTAATTACACATAAATCAATACCTGTAAATAGAGCACGAATTATTGTTATATGATAAACACTACAAATTGCTGTTATTGAGTGATATATTTTTTATTTTTTTAATGTAATAAAAGTTCAATAAAGTTTATTATAAAAAAAAAACAGATCGATGGCAGAGGAACATAACCCCAAATTACTGCTGTATACAGATAGTTTCTCCTCCTCCTCCTGCATTATTACTGAAGTGTCAGTTAAATTGTTATAAGTAGTCCTCGACTTATGACCACAATTAAACCCAAAATTGCTAAGTTAAACACTTGTTAAGTGAATTTTATGACTTTTCTTGCCAGAGTTGTTAAGTGAATCATTGCACTTATTAAGTTAGTAACATGGTTGTTAAGTGAATCTGGCTTCCCCACTGACTTTACTTCTAAGAAGGTTGCAAAAGGGGATCTCATGACCCTGGAACACTGCAACCGTCATAACTATGAGTCAGCTGCCAAGGACCTGAATTTTGATCATGTGACCGTGGAGATGCTACAACGGTTTTAAGTGTGAAAAATGGCCATAAGTCACTTTTTTCAGTGCCATTGTAACCTTTGAACCAGGGGTGGGCTGCTGGGGGTTCGCAGGGGGTCGGGAGAGCCCCTAGCTAAAATTCTGTGCAGTTTGGAGGACCTTTGAATTCCACTCCTGCTGGCCCCACCCCACCCCTCCCAGGAGTCCCCACGCAACACGTTTTGGATTCAGGTAAGTGCAGGGCGCACATGAAGCAGGAGTGAAATTCAAAATTTTTCCCTACTGGCTCTGTGGGCGTGGCTTGGTGAGCGTGGCTTGGTTGGATTCAGTCTCTAAAAGGAAGAAGGCAGGCGGGCATGGGCGGGGCCAACCAATTCAAATCGTCCTTACCACCTCTCCGAACCGATTCAAATCATCCCTACCACCTCTCTCAAGGTGGTTGGAGGTGGTTGAATTTTACCCCTGGTAGGGAGGCACGGTAAGGGTGAAAAACGGGACCCCGGGAAGTTCAGGAAGGCCGGAAATGGGCCTGTTTCTGGCTTCCAGAGAGCCTCCGGAGCCCAGGGAGGCCATTTTTGCCCTCCTGGAAGCTCGAGGAAAGCCTCTGGAGCACGGGGAGAGCAAAAACACACACCCCCGGCCGTGGTGCAGGAGGCCGACTAGGCCACGGCCACCATGGTTACGCCCACCCAGCAACTGGGCAGAGAACCCGTTCCTAAAATTTTTGAAGTCCACCCCTGCTTTGAAAAGTCACTAAATGAACAGTTGTAAGTCGAGGACCTCCTCTACCTGTATTCATCCCAGGTATTCTGACAAGACAATATGAAACCGAGAACAATTTCTTGGCTAAAACTGCACTTCTGTGGCTAAAAAGGTATGCTAGAGAGAAAAATAAGAAAGAGTTTAAAAACTTTTTTTTTTCCAGGGGAACCCATTTTATTTAAAAAGGCATAACTTTTCCCAAACTAAGCTAGCATCTCAGAAAGAGCACGTCTTCTGTTTCAGTTGGAAAATTGTAGCCTGTGTGGGGGCCAAGAATTGTTGACCTTTTATAATTAAATCATGAGAGTTCATTTTCTGCTATGTTTGAAGAGCATGACCTGGGAATAGTAAGACTCTGCTCAAATTTTAGTTCAGCTAATAACGTGCAGCAATGTGACATGGGATATCTCTCATCACCACCCCTGTGAGGGGTTCAGATCTTGCCCTGTAAACTGGCTGCAGGCTTGCTCAGATGAAACCAGAGCGAGGGTTGACTGTCAAAACTTGATCTGGTCTTTCTTATTTGTTTGCCTGTGCAAGTTGATGAACCTCTATGAAATATAGATTAAAATGTAGTTATGGGATTTAAAATAAGGCTTCCATTTCCTCACCTCAGTATAAATAAGCATTGTTTCTGTTCCCTGGCAGGGGGTATGGAGCCTTCTTTTATATTTTAGGAATCACAGGAGCATGAGATGAGGGAACACCTGTCTTGGAGTGGCTGTTGGATAAGCCACGGAACTATTTGTGTAATATTACGATCGGAATGCTGATGTGAAGTTTTTAAAGCAAAATAAATACTATATAATTCAGGTGCTTCAGAGCAGTGGCCCCCAACCTTTTTTGTGCCACGGCCTGGTACCAGCATCACAAAATGTTCCGTGGCCCGGTACCGGCATCAAGCACGCATGGCAAGGCGAGCCGAGCGACCGGCCAGCCAGCTGTCCCCCGCTTCTCCCCGCCACCTTCAACTCCTCCTTTGTACCTTTGTCGATGGGCTTCGGGACGGCTTCAGGACGGTCGCTCGGCTCGCCTTGCCTTGGGTGCTGAAAGTATCCTCGCGCCTTAGTTTTGTTCGAAGCCGCCCTCCCCCCTTCGATGAAACTAAGGCGCGAGGATTCCTTCAGGACCCAAACGCCGCTTTCCAACCGGAAAAGCTCACCGGAAGCACTTTCTCATCAAAACAAGATGGCGGCGCCCAGCAAACCGGCGGCCCGGTAGAAAATGTTCCATGGACCGGTACCGGTCCGGGGCCCGGTGGTTGGGGACCCCTGCTTTAGAGAATAGGCTGACTCCCTCTTCCTTGTGTCAACCCCAATATCTAAGGCATGGGTGCCAAACTCATGGTGTCACGTTCCCATCTTGTGACATTTTGTGACATTTCACCACGTTTTTCCCCTTCATAGAGCTGCAGTGGGCGTGGCCTGTGTGTGACCCGTGGGCCGCCATTTGACACCCCTAATCTAATGGGTTGCCACAAGACAGGAGGAGTAACAAAGAAGCAATGGATGGAAACTAATCAAAACGAGAAGCAACTTAGAACTAAAGAGAAACTTTATATATCTTATTTATTGATCTGATTTGTCAATCACTTACAAGATAATAGGTATAAGAATAAACATGAGTATGAATTCAGGAAATAAGTACGAATAAATGAGGACAATAGGACAGGGATGGGAGGCACGATGGTGCACTTATGCATGCCCCTTACAGACTGCTTAGGAATGGGGTGAGGTCAATAGTGGATAGTTTGAGGTTAAAGGAGTGGGAGTTTGAGGATGACAACAGAATCAGGTAGTGCATTCGAGGCATTGACCACTCTGTTGCTGAAGTCGTACTTTCTGCAATCACGTTTGGAGCTGTTTACATTGAGTTTGTATCTGTTGAGTGCTCTTGTATTGTTGTGTGTGTGTGTGTATGTGTGTGTTATTGTATGTGTATGTATATGTAGATATTGTATGTATATGTATATAAAAGAATATATAACTTCCTGACAGAACAATTAATCAGTGGAACAATTTGCCTCCAGAATTTGCAGGTGTTCCAATAAAGTTTTTTAAGAAGACATTGGACAACCATTTACCTGAAATGTTATAGGGTTCCCTGCCTGAGCAAGAGGTTGGAAACCTCTAAGGTTCCTTCCAACTCTATTCTTCTCTAATCAAATAATGTTAGTATTTCTTTACTAGCAAATGTCCACTGGTATTATTAACGATCTGTGTTCTGTTATTGTATTTACATCTCAAATTCTAAAAGTATAAACTATTTGATGGATTAGAATAGCACAAGTTGTGTGAACAGCTCTCCTGTATTCCCATTACAGTGTATATATTCTCATTGTAGGAAATGTATATTACACAGTACATAGGTAACTTGTTCACATTTGGTCGCTTCAGTGCATCTGCTTTAAATGTCCAGTAGGTGGCAGCATTTGATCATGCCATTACCATTCTGCTTTTTGATGCCATTTGCCACCTGGTGATCGCAAACTTTATTTTACATAGGCAACGCTACTACTTTTGATCAGAAGACAACAAAGGCTCTTAAGAGTATTGATTGAACTGCTCCTTAAAAGTGATCCATGTTTCTTTGTCTCTTTCTAGATTCCTCTGTGTAAAGTAATCAGATTTAACATTGATTATACAATTCACTTCATTGAGGAGATGATGCCTGAAGTAAGTTATGAGTGTGATTATTCAAGACATCTGTTTAGCTTGCAACGCACCAAGATATTTTAGATTTTTGATTCATGCATATTCTGAAGTGGAACATATTGTATGCCCTGGGTAGGCACTTGTAATTAAAGATACACTGTTTTAGAATCACCATGTCTATGATTCTGAAATATAATTATAAAAAAACAATAAAGCAAGACTTAAAACAAATTAAACATATGCCCTCCATAAGAGCAGGCCTTAACCCTGGCTGAGTAAAATATTAAGTGCTGCTGAAACTTTTCCTCAGGTGGGGAAAAACAATCAGATCATTGTAGCTCTGTTACAAAAAAAAAAAAAAGATGTATATTTAAGGGGAGAAGTAAAGTTTTCAACATTTCTTTCAAATGATAAAATTAACTAGTTTTGGTGGAAAAAAATGTTCTGTGAAAAGAGAGGTGAAGCTGCATGTAATGATTTTAATCTGTCAGTTGGGGCCTGAAATAAATATTTTCAGAGAGGAAGTTCCTATATAGGAAGCTAAATATTGATCCTCTGCTGAGATCATTCTCTATTTCCTCCTTTCCTTCTTCTATTTCTCGCTTCTTCAACAGTCAATTGTCAGTTTTTTCTCCAAAGGAAAGTATGAATGTTTAAATTATTTGTTCCATGTTTCTTCATAAGATAGGCGCTGGAATGTGAAACGATCTTGTTATGCCAATACCAACATTACCAATAAGTAAATGTTAAGGGAAAGAAATACCTTTCTGAATGTTTCATTTGTTCATAACGGTAGTCCTCAACTTACAATCACAATTGAGCCCAAAATTTATGTTGTTAAGTGAGAAATATGCTAAGTGAGTTTTGCCCCATTTTATGACTTTTCTCGCCACATTTGCTAAGTGAATCAATGCAGTTGTTAAATTAGTAATATGGTTGTTAAGTCAATCTGGTTCCTTCATTGACTTTGCAAATAGATGAACACCCAGGGACACAGCAACCATCATAAATATGAGTCAATTGTCAAGCGTCCAAATGTAAACTCTGTGGCCATGGGATACTGCAACATCATAAATGGTCATAAGTCACTTTTTTCAGTGCCATTGTAACTTTGAACAGTCACTAAGTGAACTGTTGTAAGTCGAGGACTGCCTTATATAGAGTTTATATCTGGAGTTAGCCTGGCTTTGGAATTTTAATATAAAACTATGTAGGGTGCTTGAAAAGAACTCTAGGCTTCCATGTTTATACTAAGGAAGAAAAAAAAGTCTAGAAATTAAAAGAGTGGGGAAAAACAACAACAACACAATTCTTTAGCTCTTGATTTGTTGGGGGGAGTGAATTCTGAAACCTATGTAAAACTTATTTATTTTTAACAGCTTTTATTTTATAAGATGCAATTTTAACTTGATTTGCCTATCAACGTAGGCTTTTCAAACCTCATAATTTGAGGTGAAGTAGAAACCCAACAGCATGAGGATCAGAAGTTTAAAAAAAAAAAAAGAGGCGAACCCATCAGTACAGAAGGACTGTCTCTTTGCTTTGATTATGAAAATGTCATTGATCCTTAGTAGAAGAAATGCATTCTTGATCTTATATTTGAGAGCTGTACTATATAGCATGGCTTTTGCGTACAGGGCTAGTCAGATTAGATACTGTGAATGTCCCACCTAAATGTCTTCTGGTTGTACCAGATTTAGAGATTATTTAATAGCAACAGCACGTAGACTTATATACCGCCCCATAAGATAGGCGCCCCATAAGATAGGCGCTTTACAGCTCTCCCTGGGCGGGTTACAATGTCAGCCTATTGTCCATCCGTGCCCCCAAACAACCTGGAACCTCATTTTACTGGCCTCAGAAGGATGGAAGCTGAGTCAATCTTGAACCCCCATCAGGATTGAACTCCTGGCAGTGGGCAGAGTTTGCTTCAATACCACATACTAACCACTGTACCACCATTTTCTTTTAAGGAAATAAAACCTCTGTGGGAACATACAAAGACTTCTGACTCATTTTGTATGTTTTTGTTTTGAGGAAGAAAACCAGGAAAAAATTAATAATCTTTCCCCCCCTCCCAATTTGAGACAGAAGCAATTAAAAATTGTAGCAAAAGAAAAGAAAAGTGGAAACTTTTCTCCTAACAGGGGTGCCCAGTCCCTGGGCTATGGACCGGTACCGGGCCGTAGCCTGTTAGAATCTGGGCCACACAGCTGGAGGTGAGAGGTGGGAGAACAAAAGTGCCATCGTAACATTTCTCCTTGACTGATGGAGATGCTACCATCTTCATTTCTGGTTTCTCAGTTTTTGTAAAAAGTCATCTTTGTTTTTCAGTCCTCTTGTCATAAGCATAAAGAAATGGGAACTTGGGCTGAGGAGGGAGGATCCTGCAAATTGAGGGGGGTTAGTTCCTGTCCTGTCCTGTCCCATCCCTGATTTCAGAGAATACATTCAACTCTCATGATGTAAGTTGGTGAAGATGTTCATTGTATGGTCTTGAGTTGCTTGCTTTTTTTCCTCCCAGAACTTTTGTGTCCGAGGCCTGGAACTCTTCTCTTCTTATCTCTTCAAAGATATTTTAGAACTTTACGATTGGAATCTGATTGGTAACTATCTTAAAAGTATATTAGTGGGAGATCTCCAGGTTGTTGCCTATTTGTTTATTTGCTATATTAATATAATATGCTGGTAGATTCTCTCTTGATGCATGCTAGGACCCTTCCCCCACCTGACTACAGATTCTTTTCATGAAAGAAGGGAAGATGTTTTGTTAAAAAGCAAAAGTCGGACACTTAGATCACGTTTTTGTGCTGTGATTTTTAGAACTTCCCCATTTCTCCAGGGGGAAAAAAAGAGATAAGATAGTTAGGGATGGTAGTTAAGAGCATCTTTGAGAGTTTGGAAGCCATATGAAGAGCTATAGAATTAAGTCTGTCTCCTGATAAATAAGTATTTTGTTTATAAGCAGAGGTGGTATTCTGGAGAACCAGTGGCGGAAATTTTGAGTAGTTCGGAGAACTGGTAAATACCACCTCTGAGTGGCCCCACCCCCATCTATTCTCTGCCTCCCAAGTCCCAGCTGATCGGCTGGGTCTTCTTTTGTTGCCCTGCACAGGAGAACGGAGCTGGAAAGCAGGTTAGTGGGGTGGGAAGGGAATGGGGATTTTGCAGTGACCTTCCCCCAGGAGTGGGGAGGCAATGGAGATTTTACAATATCCTTCCCCTACCAAGCCATGCCATGCCATGCCCACCAAACCACACCCACAGAACCAGTAGTAAAAAAAATTTAATCCCACCACTGCTTATAAGACTAGGTATAGTTAACTGCTTCCATTGCCACCATGTTGCGTAAAATGCCAATGATATGCAGAGATGATATGCTGTGAAAAAAAAAAATTCCAATGAGCCATTGACCCTAAAATATTAGGGACCCTTAATTTTTTTTTCCCTCCATTCAATCATGTCCAATTCTTGGAGATTTCCTGGAGAAGTCCCTGAAGTTTTATTGGTAAGGTTTTTCAGAAGTGCTTTGCCATTGCCTCCTCCCTAGGGGCTGATAAAAAGTGACTGGCCAAGGTCATCCAATTGGTTTATTGCCTAAGATGGGACTAAAACTCCCAGTTTTCTAGCCTGATGCCTTAACCATTACACCAAACTGCCTGTACCTCTAAATTAGGAGGTAGTCAATTAATTCAGAATATTTAAGGAAAGGAGATAGATACCCAGTCTAGGGGATGTGAATATTGCATAGGTGCTGAGAAAATAAAGGAGGTATAAATATATTCAAAGAATTCAAAGCTTACAGGCAGAAGGGGAAAAGTATATAAGGGATAACTTCCCCATCCATTATGTTCAGTGGTTATAGAAAGCCAGATTTGTGTTGCCTGGTGGACATAAATAGTTGATACATTATAATCTACATATTTCATAGCTATTATAACAATGCACATGGCAGATTTTGTGGCAAATGGTTTTTATTGCCCACTATAATTCTGAGACCATGCAGTTGTATGTTCTGAGTTTTCCTTTTATTAGACAAATGTTTTTAGTTCTATTGGTTTTTTCCCAAATGCTACAGTAATTCCCATAAGTCCCACCCATATACTGCCCATCTGTAGTATAATGATATTTGGAAGATCCTGTGTTCCCATTTTTTTTTCCAGAAAAAGGAGCTAAAACAAAACACACCACTGTTTCATAGGCTGCAAAATCATTTGCCTTGTGCAAATTCAGTTCTATAAAAGTAGCTTAATTTTTACCGAAGTGCCAAAGATAAAGGTAAATGCTCTATGAACTTACACCTTGCTGTTCATTTTGTTATATAAGGTCCTTCATCAGAAAACAGTGATACTTCATGTCCTCGGTTCCATTTCATGCCACGCTTCGTAAGGTTTCTTCCAGGTAAGTGTATTTGGTTTTAGTGTGACAGCTATTCTTTTAGTTACTTCTCTCTGAGAAGATATAAATCTATGCCTGGACTGGTGTTTCTCAACCTTGGCACTTGAAGATGTGAGGACTTCAACTCCCAGAATTCCTCAGCGAACTATGCTTGCTGGGAAATTCTTGAGAATTGAATTGCACACATCTTTAAGGGGCCAAACTTGGTCTGAACTATTCTTGTTTCAAACTAGCAAATGTGTGTAGAAGAATCCACAGAGGCATTTAAATTTAAATCTATATTATTTGTGTCTGTTCTTAACAGTTTACTTTAACAGCTTCAGTACTTAAAAGTAATTTAGTATCTATGTTCAGCCATAACACTTATTTTTCTACTGTGTACAAAGCTTAGTTCGCTACTACGGTTCAGATGAAATGCTAAGCAGAACCCATAAGGAAAGCAAAATTAACCTGGTCAAAAACTAACCAAGTTTAAAAGTATGTATTGCTTTTACTGCCCTGATTAAGTATGTTGTATAAATGTTGCCTGGAACCTGTGGAGAATTTTTGATTAATATTCATAAGCAGTGGAAACTTTGTGGAATGTTTGAACTCCGATTTTTGGCTGCCACTCCTGAAATACCCAAAGGGGCTTTTTCAAAAGGCAGCTGGACTTTCTTTGTTTTGTTTTTTTCTTGAAAATGTTTCGCTTCTCATCCAAGAAGCTTCTTCAGTTCATCTGTGCCCTCAGGGTTACCTAAATACTGCAAATGGATGTGGAATCTTCTTGGAATTGAAGAAGCTTCTTGGGTAAGAAGCAAAATGTCTTCGAGGAAAAAAAAAACCAAAGAATGTCCAGTTGCTTTTTGAAAAAAGCACCTTTGCGGCAGCCATGACCAGGGTGACTGAGAATTTCTATAGAAACACCTGTAATACACTGCTTTTGAGATTGGTTTTCTTTTTCTGGTTTCTTCATCATTCCAGAGACTCCGGAATGATTCTTACCTATAGGAAACTTTTACTTCTGATCACTTCTGGTTGAACTAATAGCTTTCTGTTGTGTTAGGTATACTTCTCTATGGTGGAGAACATGCAGCACAAATTATTTCACTGGAATTTTCATAGGAAGCTGCTTTATAGCGAGTCAGAATGTTCAGTTGTCAGCGTTCCAACTAACCAACTCCAAACCAATAATCTCCGAGACAAACATTTCGTCAAAGTTCTGTTTTAATAGAGTTGTCATATTGGCACATCTGGGAAAACCCGAATCTGAGAGTTCTGGGTTTTCCCTTCCCAAAAGAAATTCAAAGGTCCATCCCCTGCATCCATCAGTCCCTCATACGGCCCAATCAAATATTTGTCCCAACTGGAGACATCCCTCTAGTCACTCCCCACCAGGTGCAGGGCAACATGTACTTGACTCTCTGAGAGAATGTTGTTGAAAGAATCTTCTACCTCACTATGAAATCCCCTCTCCCTCACTATGAAATCCCCTCTCCAGGCACTGAATGTGGCAGCCTCAAAGCTTCCAAGCAAAAAATGGCTTCCAAAGCTGACATCAGTGAGATTATCAGTTATCATCTTCTAGCAACAGCAGCCATCATACAAAATTTCCAAAGAAATTTAACTGTCGTCCAAATAATGAGAAGGCAAGCAGGATTTCCCTTGAGTTTATTTTGATCCCCCATCCATAGATATCTTGTCGACATGTGTTTATTATTAGAGTTGGAAGGTGTGCTTTTTAAAATGTTTTGTTTTCAAAGATCTGATATTTTTATTATTTCTGTCTAGCACTGGAAATGTCTTTTCTTCTGCTGCTTGAATTATATTTGATGTAATTATTTTGGGTTTTTTTAGGTTTTGAATATTAAGGTTTGATTATGAATGTTTTAATATAATTTTATTATATTTTATTGCTGTAGCTTATATTTGAATGTATTGTGCTGCCTCAGGTGACTGGGTCCAGACTGGTGAATTATAAATATTTAAGTAAAATGTTTTTTTTTTTAAATTTAAATATGTTTTAAATTCAGCAGATTGTAGACTTTCAGACTTATGAAATAAGTGTGTATACCAAGTCCTGATGTGGTATCACAGTCCTACTAGCTTTGAAGGCAGAAGTCCAGGTTCATATGAAAACAGACTTTTTGCTGCTTATTTTAAGACCTAAATAGCCTCCCTCCCTTAAATTCTTGCATTTGCTTTGTGAAACAAAAAATGTAAAATAATTTACATCTAACTTTTAGTATAATGTATAACAGGGGAATTAGTCATTCTCAGCTGGTTGAAGTTGTACACCCAACCTCCATGCTGGACCTTTTGTGAATTTCTATAGATATTGTGCAAGCACTAAATTGAGTGACACCAAGTTCAAATAATTGCGTGGTGGCTATCTTATATAGGGTGGCTTATTATTTGAGTTAGTGCATCATGGTAGGCCAAAATATGGTTGGTCTGGCTTTGGTTTAATATTTTGGCTCATCCCAGCTATTACGATTTCCAGACTGTGGTTTAAAAAAATAGTGTGATATGCGAATCCCACCAGTTGTAAGTTATGGCTTAATGTGATGGGTAGACAAGCTATTGTTTAAGTTTTCTGTTGAAGCTGTTTAGCTGATCTGAAGCCATTGCTAGTTTTCGAATGCTTTCCTTTCGATGAGTTTGACAACCAGTCCTATTCTGTTTTCAAGATGGTGGGAAGGAAGTTCTCTCAATGCATCAGATCCTGCTGTATTTGTTACGCTGCAATAAACCACTCGTGCCAGAAGAAGAGATTGCCAATATGCTACAGTGGGAAGAGCTGGAGTGGCAGAAATACGCCGAGGAATGCAAAGGGATGATAGTGACCAGCTCTGGCATGGTACTGAGGTGTTCTCTCTTGAAATAAAACTAAATATATACTAAATATTAGCCATTCTAACTACTACTGATAATCTTATGTTTTTAATGTTATATTACCACAGAATCTATTATGGTTGAGCAATGTGCCCCTCTGTACTCCATGTGCCACCCCGAGTCCTCTAATCTGGGTGGGGCTGAGTATTCCAATGACATCATGGCATCAATTGTGGCCCCCTTTGCGGGCCACAAGTAGGGCACAAAATACAAGTAGTCCTCGATTTACAACCTATTTGTTTAGTGACCACTCAAAATTACAATAGCACTGACAAAAAGGGACTTTTGACCGTTTCTCCACATTTGCGACCATTGCAACATACCCATCGTTACATGATCAAAATTTGGACTCTTGGCAACTAGCAATAGCACTTAGACTTATATGTCACTTCGTAGTGCTTTACAGCACAACCTTTCTAAGTGGTTTACAGAGTCAGAATGTGATGACCCGGACTGTAACACAAATGTAACAAAATCTGAAACGTAAATAGATGTCCTTTAATGCTTCCAACTTGGCCCCACTGTTCAATAATTCTCAGTTGGAGATAAAACTTATTCAAAAATAGTCTTCAAAAGAAAGCAATACAGTCCGAACTTAATGAGCAGATAGAGGTGAAATAAAAAACTAAAACAAACTACAATGAAGGAATTTCCACAGGATAAACGGACCAGGATAAGTAAATACCAACTTCAAGGAGATAACAAGGCACAGTCTGTTGGAAGGACGCCAACCAAGATAACTTCAGTCCAAAATAACACATGCTTTGCTTCTGGCAATGATATGTTTTAACAACTCTCTTATATACTATTCTCCCCAACTGCAACCAATGAGGGGGATCATGGCCGCTTCCTCTCTAGTAAGCCAAGTTGTTTCCTTCTCCGTTCTTCCCTGCATATCATAGGATGAAAAGGAGATGGGCCTGGTTCTTCCTCTGACTGCCCAGCCAGCCTCTGCCCTTCCCCAGCCTCCTCCACAACCTCCGGAGCCACTCCTCCACTCCCTGTCAGCTATTCCTCCTCTCCCTCAGAGTCTGACTCTAACAAGGGCATGACACAGCATGTTGCCCCCCCAACAATCTGAGTCCTCACTTTACTGACCTTGGAAGGATGGAAGGCTGAGTCAACCTTGAGCCAGGATGGATACTGCAATACTGCAATCTAACTACTGCGTCACCATGCAGTGGTTCATATTTATGATGGGTTGCAGTGTCACAGGGTCATGCGACCTTCCGACAAGCAAATGGGAAAGCCAGATTCTCTTAAAAACCATGTTACTAACTTAACAGCTGTAGTAACTTACTTTAGAACTGTGGTAACTAAAGTCATGAAATGGGACAAAACTCACTTAACTGTCTTGCTTAACAACAGGAATTTTGGGCTCAATTGTGGTCGTAGGTCGAGGATTACTGTAGTGTGTCCTGGGTGCCTCATCAAGAATAAAACTCTGAAAATATAATAACAAAAAGAGTTTTGTCCTGAAATTAAGGGAAGGAGAAGAATAGAGGCCACAGCAGGTGGATTTAATCCAGGGGTGGGATTCAAATTTTTTAACAACTGGTTCTGGGGGGGTGGCTTAGTTGGTGGGCATGGCTTGGTGTTCATGTTACTGGCTGGGTGTGGCCAACTCAACATCACTCACATCGAGGCACGCATCTCCTCGCCTGGCCTCTCATGACTGTGGGGATGCTGCAACAGTCATAAGTGTGAAAGACAGCATTACTATCATAACTTGAGGACTACCTCTTTTGAAATCTAACAATGACATTGTCTAAGATAGAGGCCCCTAACCTGTGGGCCACAACCGACTACCGGTCTGCAGCCTGTTCCCAAACCAGGCTGTGTGAGTGGCCAGCTGGTGTGCGTGCATGCGCGTCCACAGCCTCACTCGAGTAAGCATCTTGGGGGCTCTCAGACCCACTCGCGCGAGTGTCGCGGGCGCTTTCAGTCCCACTCACATGGGCAACGGGTGCTTACCACGTGCATCCATACTGTGATGACCCAGGATGTGGCACAAAAGCAACAAAGTCACAAAAGTAGGTAAAGTCCCTTTAAGACCTTCAATTTGACCCCCAGTGTCCAGTTATCATCGGCTGGAGAAAAAAACTCTCCCAAGAACAGTTTTTAAAGGGAAAAAAATTAGTCCAAACCCAAGTACATATAAACTATAAATAAAAACCAACACAAACCACGCTGCAGCAATTAACGAGACAGGGCAGGATAAGGAATTGCAGACTTCAAAAGATAACGAAGCACACACAGTTGGGAGGATGCCAGAACCCAGATAAGACTTGACAAATCAAAATAATTCACGCTTTGCTTCCAGCAAGATGCTGTGCGCAAACGCCCTTTTTAAATCCTGTTTTCCCAGCTGCAGCTAATGAAGGGAATCAGGGCCCTTTTCTCCCACGTAACCTACGTAACTCATGTTGCTTCCTTCTCCGTTCCTCCCTGTGTGCCCTAGGATGAAGAGGGGATGGTCCTGGGACTTCCTCTGAATGCCCAGCCGGACTGTGCCCTTCCCCAGTTTCTTCCACAACCACCAGAGCCACACTCCCTTTCAGCTGCTCGACCTCTACCTTGGAATCAGATTCCAACAGAGGCATAACCCATACATGCCTGTCCCTCCCACAAAACCATCCCCTCCCCCCCCCCCCCCCCGGCACCAGGCCACCAACCAGGTTGGGGAACTCTGGTCTAAGATATTAACATGCCTTTGTATTGATGTGTGGGTTAAAGGCATTAGGTTTTATTCTGTCTGTCTAATATGCTGAATGCCAATGAAACAAGCATAGAACAATAGGATAAAATACTGGCAAGGGAATACAAAGTTCAGAAAGTAAAACAAGACCCCCCCCAAAAAAGTAAGGCAGGAAGCAATCCAAGCAATGAGTTTTAAATAAATGATCTGCTTGAATGTCTCCCTCTCTTCTCCATGCTCCAGAACATTTCATCCATCTCTCAAAAGAAAGAAAATCATGTCACGTAAACACCTCTTCCTGTTGTGTTCTCCTTAATATGTATTGTAGAAAACATAAAGGAAGACTCCGTTCTTCTGACCACAGGAGTAACTTTTGTAGATTTTAATAATGAGCCTCTCACCTTGCTACTGGTCTATAATGACTAAGATCATGAGGGGGTTTATGGAGCATCATTTTCTTGTGTCTGTGTCTGTCTCCAGCTTTTTAAAGTGAGAATGAAAAAAGGAAGAAAAATAAGGTTTTGTGTGTGCATATTTTTCTTTTCTGCCAGGTTCCTTTTGTGACAATAGCAATTATTCTAATTTCTGCCGGGAACAAATAGAAGAGGGGGATTTGCGTGGGTTTTCTGCTTCTTTGTTAACGTGAAGACTAAATTAGGAACAGAGGGAGAGAGGGGGAATATCTTACAAAGCATAACCTTGTAAATTTATTGAGAAGAGCATTGCATTATTCAAATAAAAATGAATTTTGAGTCTCCTTCAGGGCTAAATACCCATCCCTTTCTTTGGTGATGTTTTAACTCTAAAGTTTAGAATGACAGTGGCTCCCGCAAGATAATTAAACTTTTAACAGACTTTTTATTGATTCCACCACTAGCCTACATTTATATTAGTTCTTGCAGCCATTATGAACTCCTAACATTAATTCCTGGTTGGAACCTTACACTATAAAAGTAAAATGAATGGTTAATTCTGTGAGAACTTTTGGGAGAAGCAGAAGGATTGTAATTCTAATTTTAGTCCTCCCATAAATTACTGTAATCAATACATAACTGTGAGTTAATCAACCCACAATTAACCTCAGCCATTTTGTGTTTTAAATCTAGCACTAGCATGAAATGAGGTGACCATCTTGTTATCCTTCTTTCTCCATGTCTGTCTTATGTTCAGGCTGAACTTATTTAGCCAGCTCAAAGTTTTCCATTGTTTAAGAAGCCTCTATGGTTAGACAATCCTTTTCTGTGTGTGAACGTGAAAAGAGTAACAGAAAGGATATTTCACACTTTTTCCTCACATAATCTTTGTACATGTGAATAGGATGATTTATTTGCCTAAGGAAGAGAATCCACATAAATTTGGAAGAGATCCTGCTAGATTCAAACTGTTAATTTTTATGTGGAATTGCTAGCTACTTTCAAAATAGTGTTAGTAGATATAGTCCATGGAAGCTTCAGTGTGTTAAGTATGTTTATATCTTCGGAAATTTATGTATATCCCAAACTCCAAAGCAGTAGCACTTAAATACTGCTTCATAGTTCTTTACAGCTCTCTCTGAGTGGTTTACAGTGTCAGCATAATGCCCCCAGCAATCTATGTCTTCATTTTACTGATCTCTGAAGGATGGAAGGCTGAGTCAACCGTGAGGTGGTCAGAATTGAACTCCTGGCAGTAGGCAAAGTTTGCCTGCAGTATTGCATTCTAACTACAGCGCCACCACCATAGTTCAAATAAACATTGATGGAGCCATTATTAGTGGAAAAATTCATTTTTATTTTTTTTACCTTTTCTCTTCCTGCAGAAGCCCAGTTCTGTTCGCATTGATCAGTTGGATCGTGAACAATTCAACCCTGATGTGATTACTTTTCCCATTATTGTCCATTTTGGAATACGACCAGCTCAACTCAGTTATGCTGGAGACCCACAGTAAGCTGCTCCTTTATTAGTTATATGGAACTAATCAACAATGTAACTTTTTTTTTCCTAGACAATATGTATAAGTAGTGAAACATTTAATATTATTGTCAGGTGTCCATGTCTAAAATGCTTGCCACCTTTTCCCATTTGTTGAGAATGGCCAAAGTGCCACTGTCTCCATAAAACATTCTAGATCAGGCTTGTCCAACCCGCGGCCCACAGGCCGCATGCGGCCCAGGTCACCTCGTAATGCGGCCCAGTGCCCACCCCAACCTTCGTGCAAGAGCCAGCGAGGAGGAGGAGGAGAGGCAGGCGCGAGGCGGGGCAAGGCGAGCGCCACGCCAAGCAGCAACAGAAAAGGCGGGCGCCTTCAGAGCGCTCCTCGTGCTGAGGCAGCCGCAGCCCAAGAGTCCTGCTCCGCCACCTCCTGCTGTTGCCGCCGCCGCTGCTTCTGCCCCCGCCGCCGCTGCTGCTGCTGCACCGAGCCTCCCGGTCCTCGCCTTCCAGTCCTGCTGCATCCAGCTGGGCCATTTGCAGGGGAGAGGTAGGAGCGAGGCGGGCGAGCTTTCTCCCCCCCCTTCCCCCCGCAAAATTTGGCCGGAAAATTTGGCTGTGATAAAAAATAAATAATTTTTAATAATTAATTAATTAATTAATTTTATTTTATGTGCGGCCCAAACCAAATTTTCATCTTCTAATGTGGCCCAGGGAAGGTGAAAGGTTGGACACCCCTGTTCTAGATGGTTATGGTCAAGATTTGGTGGACTTAACTGAATTAACTTTATTGTCAAGATTCTGGCAGTTACCCTCATTTAAATCATGAGTCTCGAGCCAAACTTCCAAAATTTAAAAAGGATTTATTGGGAATTAAACTGTCCGGCACTGCCTGGGTGTAGCCAACTCTGAGACACACAATTCATTGTCACCCTTGACCCTGGTTTTCCCCCTGGGTGTATCGTAATTAATATTCGCCAATGGGTCACATCCATAGCCAAGAGTCATCAATCATGCTCTCCAGTTAGAATTTTGTGAGGCAGAAACTTCAGTCACCTAGTTACTATCTTTGAAAACATTTATGTATTGCAGTTTCGGTTTGCAAGCTGCTGCACTGATCCCCTTTCTATTGGCAACTCTAAAAAGACCATAGAGATATTTTATGAGTTGACATTTATCATGCAGGCTGGGGAAGGACAGAGAACGGCTGAGCAGTCAGAGGAGGACCCAGGCCCATCCCCTATCCATCCTAGGGCACACAGGGAGGAGGATAAGGGAGAGACATGGTCTTCTCGGGAGGAGAGGGCCTTGATCCTCTTCATGGGCTGCAGGTGTGAGAATTGCATAAGAGTTTGGACCTGTGTTCTGGCAAACGCTGGAGACAAAGTGTGTTTTATTTTGGTTTGAGGTTATCTTGGCTGGCATCCTTCCAACAGACTGTGCCTTGTTATCTCCTTGAATTTGGTAAATACTTCTCCTGTTCCATTGTGAAATTTCATCATTGTAGCTTGTTTGGTTTTTATTTTCACCTCTACCTGCTCATTAAATTTGGACTGTATTGCTTTCTTTTAAAGACTATTTTTGAGTACATTTTATCTTCAACTGAGAATTATTGAACAGTGGGGCCAAGTTGGAGGCATTAAAGGACATTTATTTACGTTTTGGATTTTGTTACATTTGTGTTACACTCTGGGTCATCACAGTTATAAGGAATTCTAAATTACATTTAATAGGACAAAAACATGAGCCTTTCAC